AGATACAATATCATGATGATAAAAGTACACATACTGTACGCTGGATTATAAGTGGTGGTAAGGAATTTCTGAAGAAAGCAGGAGTGTTATTCTCTATTATGTTTCAGCATTGTGCCTTCCTCAGAGAGAATGATACAAACTCTCCTCTGCATTCTGTGTTTCCTTACTGCCATAATTTACCCATATTGTACAATGTTGCTTGTACAGTATTAAGAATCTCTAGACCAAGTTATTTGTTATTGTTTATGCTGAACATGACATTATAATAATAAAACATGTTTCTTTTATTATTACTATATACAGTAACTTGATAATAATTAATGGTTTATTGAAAGAGCAAGGCTCAAAATATACAGTTACATAATTGGGGAATGGGTCACTTGATTGACAGATAATGTACAAGTAACATAAGGGGGAACAAATATGATACATAATAACTAGGTGGGGAGAAGGTTATACTACAGGGCATTTCAGCGTAGTAACAGTACAAAAAGGTAAGATTGACTGGGAGTGAATACACTGGTTGATTTTAAGTTGTTAATAGTTTTTTTTACAATGATTGGGACTGGGCTGTTCTTATAGCGATCAGTACGTACTCGTATAGGCTCGATGTGGTTTCGAACAGCAATTCACAGACGAGGGATCTCGGGTGGAAGTAGGAGCTGGTGCGAGGATGGTGCAGAAGATTCTCACCAAATTTGCAGATGAGGTCGTGGTGATGATCAGAGAGAGCCGAGAGGGATCAGTGTGTTGAGCGCTTCTTGATGTGTGGAGTAGGAGGGGTGAAAATAATCTTGCATGCCCTATTTTGCACTTTTTCTAGGTGTTTAGAGAGGAAGACCAGGCACAGGTGAGCTTAGGAAGTAAGAATGTTGAGTAAAGACTGAGGAGCTCGGGCGCAGGAACTCCAAGGGACTTGAGTCGGCGGAGGAGGTGGAGATGAAAACTGGAGGATTTGATAACTGTACTGACGTGTGTTTTCCAATTTAGTTTGTTATTTATAGTGACACCGAGGAGCTTAGTGGAGTCCACAACCTGGAGTGTGTTGGGGCCCAAAGTAATGGGTGGAGGTGAGACAAGGTCTTGGTATGGTTAATGGTGACATGGTTATTGAAGGGCGGTGTAGTCGGGAGCCGAGTTGTTGACACTGATCCCAATGGTGTACTCATCGACATATTTCCAGCGAGCAGAGGTTTCTCTTGGGGCATCACTGATAAATATAAGGAAGCAGAGTGGTCCCATCTTGGTGCCTTGGGGGACGCCACAGGTGAGTGACTGAAAAGTGGAGACAGTCCCTTGGAAGCATACAGCTTGGCGTCGGTCACTAAGAAAGTCTGTAAGCCATGGTATAAGACTTCTTCGAAACCCGAGGTCGATAGCTTTGTTGATGATTAAATTGTGGTCAACTATAGTATTTCCACGCTAACCTGGCCTATAAGCCACGCCCCACTTCAATACTAATAGGTGGTTGGTTCATAGAAAATTCAAACTAAATGTGTTCACAATTGGTAAGCAGACTTGTTGTTATCTAAAATAATGTTAAATATATGGCTTATCAAAATGCAAATCATTTTAAGGCATTAGCACTTCAGAGAGGATGTTAGAAAATTTTAAATATTTATTATAAAGGGTCAATATAAACACGTGCAGTCCGGGGAGAGGTAAGACGCTCAGGGGAACCAATCAGTTATTTGTAGCTATAGACGAGAGGCAGGGCTTATGGGCCAGGTTAGTGTAGAAAGGGTATTGGTCAGATGCTTTGGTGAAGTCAATGAAGGTGACAGCCACAGACATCTTTCGTTTTTCCTGATGGTTGTATATGCAGTCGGGAAAGCTAGCAAGACAGTGAGTGGTGAAGGAAATTTTCATCTTGCCAAATTGCTGAGGATCTATGGCGCCTGCGGGCGCCTGATTGTGCTGTTTTATCTCATTTAGGGTCGATGCTGCTTCATTTTGGGAGGGAGGGAACTTTTGACCCAGACTACAGTTGTTGAGTACGTGTGTGTGTGTGACAGAGAGAGATTATGTTCCTGCTTGCTTCTTTATTTATTTTCTTATTTATTAGACAGTAATTATAATCCTTTTCATATGCAAATTTTTTCAGACTCTGGAAAAGTTTGGTGGCATCGACATACTAGTTTCAAATGCAGCTGTAAATCCCACAATAGGAGGTGTATTGGATGTAAGTTGCTGATATTTTTTATACTTACACTTTCTACTCTTTGTGATACAATGAGACAAAGTTACAAAAATATTACTCAACATTTGTGAGTAATGTGACGGGATGAAGGCGCTGTTGGTACATATCAGTAGTTGATATACAGTTTAGTGATGAATCATTCCATACCATGATTTGTATTCATGTAAGAATATTTTTTATGACATTTTTCCACAGTGCATCATTCTCACATTTTTTTTACCTCCCTTATGCTTCACTGTCATTAATGCACTGTAACTTCCATATTAGTTTGGCCTATTTACAGGGCTCGATTAAAGGGGGTTGGCAGCCTAGAGCCCAAGGTTAAAGGGTCCCCGTAGATTACCAGCAGAGCAGTATATTATTCCTGTATTGTTCACCTAGTATTATAGTACAGTATATGGGAAATTAAAGATAAGAATTTAGGACAACATTGCTCAGTCAAAAGATTCAAATTGACCAATAAAAACCAGGCGTGCTGACTTCTGGCTGTAGCCCATGAGAAATAATAATGAACACACAAATGAATTCAGACACTATTACACAAGGTTCAGCTGATTGGCAACATTTTATGGGGTGTTCATAATTTAGGTACATTATTGACTCCATAATGTCATGCTGTGCAGGGCTGATGTATGATGTCTTAACAAAGTGAAATAACCTCCAGTACTAATATATCATGTACTGTATTGAATAGGTAAATGTTAGCAATTTTGTTATATACAGTTCAATACTCGGTCGTCTAGGCACCGATTTATGTTCACTGTTTCGCCTTCAACCTTGGTCATTTTTTGTTCTCTGGATTTGTGTACAGTATCTTCGATTGAGTAGGAAAAGGGTTGAAGGCCAGAGAACTACCGCCCGGGGCCCCAAGTCATTCTTAATGTGTACACCTACATCAGTCTTAGCTATCTGTTGCATCATTAGCTTTAGGTTATGTGTATTTATTTGATAAGTGACTTATAATACTTACAAAGTACTGTATCTAGATACTATACAGCATTACTTTCAGTGTCCAGAGACTGCATGGGATAAAATCTTTGAGGTCAATGTGAAAAATGCCCTCCAGCTCTCACAGTTGGTGGTGCCACACATGCAGCAGCGAGGAGGAGGATCAATAGTCTATGTGTCATCAGTTGCAGGATTTCAGCCATTCAATGTAAGTATTTTTTGTTTTTGTTTAAGATAGTAAAAAAAAAGGTTTAATTGATTTTTTATTTCATGATGATCATTTAACATATTTTGCCAATCACAGGCAGTTCACATTATACATGTATGCCATACTCGCTTATACAACATATACAGAAATCCTGAGTTATATACTTTGCTCACTGGGACAACTAAAGCTCCCGGTTTGATGGCCTGTGCTAAGATATGGCTGCTGTTACAGCGCTCCATGGCAACAATAGTAGTGGTATCCAAGCCATGCCTAAAAGGGGCGAGGATAACTAATTCTTACTTGCTGATTGTAGTTTTATGATACATATTGTCTATTGCTGTGTTTTGTTGAGCGACAGTTGTAGAAGTAGGATTTAATTGACTGATATTAGGGGTTTCTACTAACTACAGTATCTGCTGACTTTTTTCACTCCATCTACATGTACTATGTCTGTGACGTGTATTGTGGGCTCAACTACTGGGTCTTTGTAATTTATTTCATGTTTTTAGGTTCTAATTACTGGATATATGGCCCTGTGAATTTAGGCAAAAGTTATAATATGCATTCTGGCACTTTAATCGCATAGTGTATAACATTTTTTCACAAAAATTAATTGTTACAATTATGGGTTTTTACTGTGCAGTAGTACAGTGTAAAAGACTATTACAAGAATTTAAAGAAATATTGCTGAAAACAACTGCTATCATGTGCAGATCATAGAATAAATTATGATCAAGAAGTCAACCAGGCCCAATGTATCATGGAAACAATAAACTAATTTGTTGATTTTTAAGATGTATATTTTAGACAGAAGAAAGAACCTACTGAAAAAGAAATCTGAGTACCATACAGGTACACCCACTAAAATATTATTCGGCTCCTGTGTCATATTGTATCACGCCGTAAGATTCAGATTTGCCCCCGAGGGGGCTAGTTTATTGGGCACCCCCTTACATCCTGTGCAAGGTGAAGTGCAGAAGCGTTTACAGCGCCCATCTGGTAAGTATGCAAAGTTCATACTTGCCTTTATGACTCGTACATTAAGGGCGTAAAAGCCTGAAGGGTCATAGGTTTCGTCAAGTTACATAAAGTGAGAGAATGATGAGTGTGTGGGGGTAAAGTTCCCGGTACATTTCATCTGTTTATAGCAAAGCGTGGCAGGTCTCTAATAATGTCAAGTGCCAGGCTTGTGACTAGGAGGAGGGTGACGCATAATTTTTTACTGGGTGTACATTTATGTATTGTGCATGTGTACATGTGTGTATGTGTGTGTACAAGTATCATGTACACCGACTAAAAAATTATTCAGCACTCTTACGGCGTGATACAATATGACACGGGAGCCGAATAATTTTTTTGTGGGTGTACATTACTCTACTGTGCTTTGTTGTTTGTTTATTTATTACCTGCAACATTACAAATAAGTACTGTACTTAGAGAAAAATTTATTTTTTTACATTATCCGTACATTTTAAGACAGGTTTCAGTATTCTGTACTGTACATTTTAGTGTATTGTACAGAAACCTCCATGTAATTTAGCCACATAAAAGAAGTTGTCATTTTCTTAAGCCTTTGTAAATTTGGTTAAATTTTTTATTACCGGTAGGTTAAAGAAACTAAACTTGCATTCCCTAGAAAGACGAAGAGTGCGGGGAGATATGATAGAAGCATTTAAGTGGGTGAAAGGAATCAATAAAGGTGATATAGATAAAGTTCTTATAATATCCGAGCAGGATAGGACTCTGAACAACGGATTTAAGTTGGATAAGTTTAGGATTAGGAGGGAGATAGGAAGGAACTGGTTTACAAATAGGGTGGTGGACAAGTGGAACAAGCTTAGCTGGATAGATTCATGGATGATAGAGAGTGGTAGTAACTCTCGACAGGAGCTGCCATGCACAGGCCAACCGGCCTATTGCAGACTCCTTATTTTCTGATGTTCTTATGTTCTTATGTTGTCCTGGTACACCTTGATGTACCGCTCCATAGCCTGCACCTGCCGGGTATGGAAGACTTCATAGCGGTCATCGTCAGGTCGTTGGAAAGGAAGAGCTTCAATTTCTCTGCACGCTCGATGGCACCCTTAACATTATTATGCATTAACTTGCGTTCTTCTGGGGTTGACGCACCACCTGCCTCTTCACTGACGTGATCATCTTCCAACATCTCATTGGCAGTCATTTCAGGATCTCTGATCACCTCCAGGATGTCTTCGTTGGTGGTCTCGGAGAAGCCTTCAGCTGTAATACTGTACGCAGCTTCACTTGCAAGTTCCAATGCCACTGTAACAGACTGAACCTCACCAGTCACAGGTTGACTCCACCTCTCACCTGGGCTACCATGCAACACATGCCTCCATGCGTGACGAATCGTAGCTACAGACAGCTGATCCCATGCCTCCACCAAGAAGTCCACAGCTTGTTTGAAGTTAAATTTTTTCCAAAACTGTTTGATGAGAACTTCTTGATTCACCACCTGTTGTTCCTTGTCCTCGTCCTCGTCGCTTTTGCTCTCGCTATCGGTGTCACCCAGGTTACGCAACTCATCCTTGGTGTTGGTACAGTCGTTCAGGAGCTTAAACTTCTTTGCAAAGAATGCAGCTTTCACATTGCCTATCAACTCCTGGTCCATGGGCTGGATTAATGACGTAGTGTTGGGAGGAAGGAGGACCACTTTTACGTTGGGGTGACGATCCATAAGTAGTGGCGAGTGTCCTGGTGTGTTGTCAAGGAGCAACAGAATGTTGAATGGAACATTCTGTTGCTTGCAGAATTTCTTCACGTCGGGAACGAAACAGTCATCACACCAGGAGGGTGACAGAGCAGAGAACATCCACGCCTTTCGTGCGGTCAGCCAGTGGACATTAATCTTGCTCATGTCCACGTTCTTGTAGGCTTGCGGGCTGTGTGAATCACCGATAACTTGAGTTTACAGGTACCGGAGGCATTGGTGGTAAAGAGGATGGTGATGCGCTCCTTCTGCAACTTCCGGCCCCGACACTTGCTGGCGGACCGGACAACGAAGGTCTTGGTAGGTAGCTTTTTCCAAAATAGACCGGATTCGTCCATGTTGAACACCTGGTCGTCGGTGTACTGCCCTTCCTCCATAACCTCACGTAAGAACGGAGGAAAATCTCTAGCCGCCACACGGTCAACACTTGCTTCTTCACCACCAATGTTGATGTTGGTGATCTTGTTCCTCTTCTTAAACCTATGCAACCACCCAGAGGAAGCATTGAAGGGTTTGGGCTCTGCAATTCCCATCTTACGTGGGACTGCTGCGTACAGTTCACGGGCGTACTCTTGAACGGATCGCGTGTTGATCGCCATGTTGCGTCTCGCCTGACGAATCAAGTAACTCGCCAGCAAATTTTCAACCTTTAGCAGCACCTTGTTCTGGCAATACTTGATCATTGAAGCACCTGCAGACTTTGTGATTCTCATGTGCTCTTTGATCTTGGCCGCATCCTTCTTAATAGTACGAATCGTAGATTCGTTGACTCCATGCTGGCGCGCGAGATCAGCTTGACATGTTCCTTTCTCCAACTCCTGAATGATCTTGTATTTCACTTCGTAGCTTAGGGAACGTCGTATCTTCTTTGGCTTAGGGCGGCTGGGTCCAAGTAATGCAAGGTTTTTCTCTGGGGGCGGTGGTCCGGCGGAAGCCATTTTACAGAACAATGGATACTGGTTTACACGGTGTGGCCTGGAGGGATGCAACTGACGCGGTTAGGTCAAGCGTCGTCTTTCCTCTCTCCCGCGGGTGGACACGTCATATTACTTTAAACCAATCACAGCTAGCGGCGTAGGGAGGTAAGAATGCGTGGCCCAATCACAGTCCAATACGTCATATGACATCACTGATAACGCAACAGAGACATCCACTGTGCAACCTACCCGCGCGGCTTGCCCAAGCAGGAGCGTCGAATCTAAAAATAGCGTCGCGCCAGACACTACGCGTATATGAGTAGATGCACCGCGTAAAATGAAAGTCCAATTCTGGCGAGGTACCGCGTAAATGTAGAATAGCGTAAAGCGAAACCGGGTAAAGCAGGGTATTACTGTATTTTATTTACCTGATGACTTACTTTTTTCTTTCATTGACTGTATTTTGTCATTCTATTTTTTCTTTTCTCTTAAATTAAGTCATTTTAAATGTATACAGTATAAGGACTTAGGTTATGATATAGTGGGATTTTAAACATTGTTCTGTAAGTATGGTATGTACCCTACACTCGGTAAAGAAACTATCTTTACATTTCTTGTGCGAAACGAAATGACAACACAAATGAAGGCTTTTGATAAATGCTCATAAGGCATGCTGCTATTCGCCAGTCATTTTGCAATGAACTAACTTTATATTTTGAATGAAAGAACAAAATTAGGCCAACCATAATAAGTACGAAATGTCTCACAATCATGCCTACCAACCCTAGCGAGACAACAGGATTGTTCAGTTCCAAATTCATCGGACCCCTCTTGAAAGATCCTTTTTTTGCCGAGTATACATAGCATGTGTTCCGACTTACGTACAAATCCGACTTAAGAACATCCTCAGAAACGGAACTTGCTCGTAACCCGGGGACCCTCAGTACATGTTTGTGCAAACATATACTGTATCATAAGTATGACAGTGCTGTTGCTGAGGCAACATTACTGATCAGCTAATGTCTGTAGCCTCAATAAAGATATCTCGATAATAATAATTGGTCAATGTGCATCATGTGACATACATGAAAACATTATGGTATTACAAGCATTTTAACAATAAGAACATTCCTCAGAAGACCCAATCACATTCCTGATGGGGGAGGGAGGATAAGAGGGTATGCTAGGTGAGGTGGGTGGTCATGGGGCTAATGGACACAAGAAGATCAAAGGGAAAGTCCACTGTCATGGCCACTGCTACCTGACCTAACCTGACGTCACCTCACCTCATGAGACCTCTAGGTATGTGACTGTATGGTGTCTCCAATCACCCACACTGTACCCTTCATGGCTTCCCCCTCACCATACCCTCCTCTTACAACTCTTTTACTACCGGTTTGGTCAATTGTATTGGAGTAAATGAATTAGAAAATCATACTTAAGTAAAAGTACTAAAATATTTGAGTACTTTTTAAAAGTAAATACCCAAAAATGTTACCTGAGTACAATGCTCAAGTAAATTTATTTAGTTACTTTACTACTCTGGAAATGGTCCATTGATAATTTTCTTCTTATTAATTATTGTATTACAGCTTCTGGGAGCATACAGTGTTAGCAAGACAGCTCTCCTTGGACTAACTAAAGCAGTTGCCCAGCAGGTAGCACCTGACAACATCCGGGTTAATTGTGTGGCTCCTGGTATAGTGAACACCAAGTTCTCTAGTGTGGTAAGACTTCATGTGTACAGTAGCTCAAGTTTTCCATGAACAGTGATTTTACTAATATTATGACCCTTAATATCATCAGAGCAAAGTTTACACAGTGCCCTTATCTCAATTCAGGTACTGTACTGTATATTATCATCTTTGTGAGTTTTATTTATGAGCCTCTTAAATGCTTTATGACCTGTCCTGCTGCTTGAGGCATCAGAGCCAAAATGTAGTGTTGAGATGCTCTTGTGTTGCATTTATTAGTTTATAATGCTCCCAGGTATGTGTCTGCTGATAACACTTTCTTCAACTTTTCAGTTGATTGAAAATCCTGCAGCAGCTGAAAAGCTTCAGGAAAATATTCTTCTTGGAAGGTAAGTGGTTTTAGGTATTATCCCCCCCGCCCCCGAAAAAAAAATAGGGTGTGCCGGTATATAAAACCAACTTTAAAATAGTTACCTGTTGTTCATATCCAAAATGTCAGTTCAGTATTTGGAGTTTAAATAGCTGGATTATGACAGAATCTCTTTCACAGATAAAAGATATTACATATTTACCTTCTTCCTCTTGATAATTATTTCTTGACCACTGCTCCGTCTGTTCCTGGTGCTGCCTAACTCTGTTATCATTCTCCCAGTATGTCTTCATTCTATTTTTGTTCACTGTTCAGCTGAGGAGCATGATTGTGAATATTTATAAGGGAATGAGTGACGCACTTAAATGTAAAAACTACAGAGGCCCGAAGTTGTTAGGAAATACTTAGGGAGAGAGCATGGACATTAATGAAATTCAGTTTGGGTTCATGACCAAGCAACTACAAAAGAAATGACAGAAAGCTGTTGTTTATGGGAAAGTTAAGGGTCACAGAGTGTTTTGTGTGAGGGGTTATTGGGGCTGGAGAACCTTAGTGTAAGTAGGGTCCATCAAGAGTGTGAATGTGGCTTTAATTAAAGTAATGATTAGTTGTGTGGGTGAAGGACTTGTAGTGGAAAATGTTCATATATTGTTGGTAAGATGGAATTTGGCAGTAATTTGATAATGTACAGTGAATAAGGAAGGTGGGTAAACGGTAGGTGCAGTGGTGTAAATGGGAGATAACAGGATGTTGCTGACTTTTAAGGTTACTGTAGGTGCTGGTAATCATGTGGCATAAGCAAGGTTAAAAAAGCTTGACATTGAGGCTTTATCTCTGGATTGCATTAATAAGTTTTACTAACTGGTTGATGTGATCGTGTGCTGAAGATAGCTGGGTTATAAGAATCCTAAGTGGCAGGAAGCTGTTTTCTTTATTGATGACAAAAGGATTTTCTCTTTGCATAAAGGGAAAGTAGTGTTGTATGTAGCCAGTGTAAGAACATTGTTGTTGTGTGGAAGTGAAACATGGGCAAATAAAGATGATATCAAGCATACCCTTGAGCGGCTTGATATGACAGCGGTGAGATGGATGTGCAGTGTGTTATTAAGAGACAGGAAACCTAATTCAAATCTAAGAGGTTAGTTGGGTCTTGATAGTACAACTGTATTGGCAAGGTATTGCATAGTATTATAGTAGTAGGCTAAAATTATTTAGGTTAATGGAGAGAAAGGAGGAGGCCACTTGGATCTAGAGATACTACATGCTTTTAAATGTGGTGATGAAGAGAATTAGAAATAGGCCAAAAGTATTTGGAGAGATTGTAAGAAATGACCTGGAGAAACTGCTCAAGACCATGCAACCTGGAGAGCTGCCATCAGGTAATCACAGCTAACCCATGAGAGCGTGGGAAATAACAATAAAACAGTGACAATGACCATCATCACAGGATTCTGGTAGTGTAGTGAAGCCTACAAGCACTAACACTATGGTCTTATTTCTTAAATATTAATGTTATATTAACTTAAACTTGAGAGAAACATATAGTCACCTGCAGTCCATCAGTATGTGTCATATTTCCTGTCTGGTACATAAGTTCTCATACCTTAAAGAATGTTTAATCTAATTTATCATACCCAGTAGCTGTGTATCTTGATAAGACGTATTGCATACTAAATTAATGTCTGGGCCAATACTGTACTTACAGCTGCTCCTTTCAAATAGTATTCAGGGGTTTTGCACTCCTCAGGGTTCAACTTAGACAATGGCATACATTGCAAAAAAAAATTTTTTTTAATAAATTAAGACTGTCTTGTTTAGGAAGAATACTGTATAGTACAGAACTTGAAGCAGAAGAGGGAGGAGTCAAAGAAGGACGGGGACGGGTGTACATGGGTTATACTTAGGGGGAGGGTAGTGGAAGCAAGTGTGCAGACACCCTGCAAAATACAGTGTACTTAGCAAATGCTGCAGCTGCTGAGAATAGGGGGAAAGCGGGGTTACTACTAAGAGCAGACGTTACCGAGAACAATTTCTGGCTTGAATGTCATGTACACTAATACTGACACGTTTTTCGATAAGAGAGAGGAGTTTGAAACACTACTAAGAGTACACCAACCAGATATCTTAGGAGTTGTAGAACTGTTGTACAAGAACAGGAGAATCGACCCAGAGGAATGTGAGTTCAGTATTGCTGGATATGACTCATTTACGAACCTGTCTCAAGAAACATGCAAGAGGGGTGTGGTTATCTATGCCAGGCAAGACCTTAGAGCCAGCCAGGCGAGGGTACAGGGAGAGGATGTTTTTGAAGAGTCCAAGTGGTGTAAAATAAAATTAAAGGGAGGGGACTTACTTATCGTCAGGTGTATCTACAGATCCCCAAACTGTGGCCCACTAAATCAAAGGAACTTAAGAACTTTAATAAACAACGTGGCAATGCTCAACCCTAGCCACCTTATTATCATGGGAGACTTTAACTATGGCGACATCGACTGAAGAAACAAGTCCACCCCAAATGACTTGAATAACCCTGCTACTCTTTTTGTAGAAACTCTGAGAGATAATTTTCTGTTCCAACATGTTAGAGACCCGACACATTACTGAGGGGAGCAAACACCCAAGCCACTTGACCTCATCATAACAAACGAGGAGGGTATGGTGGCCAAACTGGAACACCTTGACCCAGTTGGCACCAGTCACCATATAGTGTTGTCATTCAGATTTAACTGTTACCTAGTTCAAGATAAGGCCAGGCCAAGGTGAAAATATTACAAGAGAAATTACAACAGGATGAGGGAAGAGATGAGAGGTATCAACTGGCCTGACTCATTAAGGTACAAGAACGCAGACACTACGCTGAATATCATAACTAGTAAAGTGACCCATTTGATCGATAAATATATACCCAAGACCAAACCCAGTGCTTCTAGGAATACGAGGGGATCACTACACATGAACCATGCGGCAGTCGACAAAATTAAGAAGAAAACCCAGAAATTCAAGACTTGGTTTGGGTCAAACGATGAGCAAGACAGGAGGATGTATGCAAGAGCCAGAAACCAAACAAAGACAGAATGTAGAAGGGCTGAAAAGGAGTTCCAGAGGTTGGTTGCAAGCAAGGTCAAGTCAAACCCAAAGGCATTTTTACCGCTATGCAAAGTCGAAATTGAAAACGCGAGTAGGAGTATCAGACCTGAGGCTTGTGGGTGGTAGTTACACAGATTCTGACCAGGATAAAGCCGAGGCATTGAACAGCTTCTTTTCCTCGGTGTTCACAAGAGAGGATGCAACTAACCTTCCTGCGTTTGAGGACATACGGTTCGACACAGCACTGACCCACATTGTGTTCACTGAAGAGGGTATTAGAAATAAACTGTCCAGGCTGAAGTTCCATAAGAGTCCCAGTCCTGACATGGTGCATCCTAGCATGCTAAGAGAGTTGTGCAACGAGCTTGCCGAGCCCCTGAAGGTCCTGTTTTGTAAATGCCTGGATGAACAAATGGTCCCCAGTGAATGGAAAGTGGCTTATGTGAGTCCTATCTTCAAGAAGGGCGATCGGCACTCCACGAACAACTATAGACCAGTGAGCCTGACCAGCATAATATATAAGGTACTTGAGAGTATTATCAGAGATGCCGCGATGAAACATCTTATATGAAACAATCTTGTAAAGGATTGCCAACACGGTTTTATGCCGGGGTGCTCCTGCTTAACACAATTGCTCAAAGTATTGGATATTTGGACCCATATTCTGGAACGGGGTGGTAATATCGACAATATTTACCTAGATTTTGCCAAGGCTTTCGACAGTGTACCCCATGAAAGGTTGAAAATCAAACTGGAAGGGTACGGAATTCGGGGAAATGTCCTTGCATGGATAGAAGACTTTCTACATGACCGCAAGCAGTGTGTGGTGATTAATGGGACGAAATCGTCATCCGTACCTGTCACAAGTGGGGTACCACAGGGCAGTGTATTGGGCCCACTCTTGTTTGTTTGTTTCATAAATGACATGCCTGACGTTGTATACTCCTCCATACAAATGTTTGCCGATGACGCTAAGTTATTTCGGGAAATTAAGAACCAAGCTGACTGTGAAGAGCTGCAGAAGGACCTCTGTGGGCTCCAGGAATGGTCGAATGAATGGCTGCTGAGATTCAATGTCACGAAGTGTAAGAGGATGCACCTGGGACGTACCAACAGTAAGGAGGCGTATCATATGTCCCAACGGGATGAAGAAACTGCACTATTTGAGACTGAATGTGAGAAGGACCTAGGTGTGTATGTTGACAATGATCTGAAGTTCTCGGACCATTGCGAGAAGAAGGTAAACCAGGCAAATAAATTATTGGGTCTTATAAGAAGGTCGTTCAGATATCTAGACGGTCCGTCCCTCGTAACGATCTTCAAGAGTGAAGTGCTTCCCCATCTGGAGTACTGTCACCCCATCTGGTCCTCGAGATATGCTAGGGACTGTCAGTTGAAAATGTTCAAAGGAGGGCCACCAGACTGGTGCCTGCACTTCGGCACCTCAGCTACCCTGAGAGATTGGAGCGCCTGAACTTGCCTGGCTTATATTACAGACGGGCAAGGGGTGACCTAGTTGAGGTGTACAAGCATCTCAGGGGACACTACTCAGTCGAGTATCCTTACTTGGAGCTGGCGGACGCTCGCCCCACAAGGGGTCACAGCTCGAGATTGAAGAAGCCGCAAGTCCAGAAAACTGTGAGGGCAAACTTTTTCGGAGTGAGGGTTATAAACTCTTGGAACAATCTACCAGAGAGTGTTGTGACGGCACCGAGTGTGAGAGTGTGAGCTCTTTCAAGACAAGACTTGACCAACACTGGAGCGGGTTCAGGTACATTCAGGAGCCGGTGCAAGCCCAGTATTTGTCAACAGTGCGTGACAGAGACGTGACCGATCGCCCAAGCGGCTAACGAGCCGATCAGTGGTGAAGAGGATAAATAAAAAAAAAAGATTACTGTACAGTGAAAAAGTTTCTGTTGGTATTTTCATCAAAATTTAAAATAGCTGATATTGTAGCAAGTATTTTTCACCAAAATAATTTAAATTCTTTGTAAATGGAAACTGATTTGTATGATCTGAAACCAAAATTGCTCAATTAACTGACTGCAGTACTAATAACATTATAATATTTTTTTACATTTGTTTTCTACCTTACTTGATTTCCTTATATGCCGTAAATTTTTTACTAAATGTGAATGATGCCTTGTAAACCTGGTATATTGGAGAGTCTAATCAGTGAGATTGGTGGTTGTATAATAGGAACTTGAATGGAAGCATTTTCAGAAATTCATGCTACAGAAATGAGTTGCTTAAAGGCTACACCTGATGTTGACAAAATAGAAGGGTGAGAAAGTGAAGTAGCTAAGTGGCATGATTAATTTGCTGAGAGAGCTGAGGAGGTGATGGTATTGACTTGTGAGAGAAATGCATGGGAGGAATGTCAAAGGGGTGTGTAGGGTAATGATGCAGGGCAGTGAGGCATTGTATGTACATTGATAATATATATTTACTGATTTTTTTCTTTTCTCCATGTATAGATTTGCAGAGCCAAAGGAAATGGCTGGTTTAGTGTCCTTCTTGTGCAGCAGTGATGCTTCATACATCACTGGTGAAACAATTGTTGTTGCCGGAGGACTGCCCTCACGCATGTAATGAAACTACTGCTTACATTGTGACTAATTTTAAGACTGATGTTTAGGGATTGTTTTCATTACAGAGGAACTGTTAAAAAAATTGAATTTTTTAATGTAGAAATAAGTTAAGCATTTTTTCAGTTCAAGCTAGTCTGTATTCTGTTCATTTTGGATGTGTAAAATCAGTACCGCCCACAGTCTTTTGTGCGAACTTGTGATTGGTTGGACCAAACAGCTGAGAGATGTCCATGTGACTTTAGCCATCAGCTAGCTGTCTAGATGATAGGAAAAGGGACATGGGAGCACCTTCACCTCCCAGGCTCCCCATCCACACTTATCAACATAAGAGTACAACATATTTTAGAAATAATTTGAAAGACAAATTAAAAAGTAAAGAGATAATTAATAAGCATGCCACATTTACCTTACCCCCACTAAAGGTGACCATGCTGAGAGAAGGCCAGTGGCCTGTGTAGGATCCCTCCATTGTTCTTGATAATTATGTCAAGGGTTATTTTGAAACCCAGTACTGTTTGTGATTCCACAACTTGGGCTGGTAGACTGTTCCATAGGTCTACCAACCCTCTTGTGTGAGGAAGCATTTCCTCATGTTCATTCTGCATGATAATTTGGCGAGCCTGTTGTTATATCCTCTGGTACGTGTTGATGGTGCTTGACACCACAAAGTGATTCAGATTCACGTTTTCGATCCCTTTCAGGATTTTGAATGTTTCAATGAGATCTGTTTTATTGTCTGAAGTTTTGTTAGTCCTGAGGCCCTCAGTCCACTTGGATAATTAAGATGGCATTGTTCCGGAATCATCTTAGTCGCTCTGTGTCACAACCTTTCTAGGTATGGTAGATCTTTCTGGTAGGGTCTCCATGCCTGTGTATATTAATCCAGACTGGGACATACGTGAGATTTGTACAGTTGAAGGAGCATTTTCCTATCTTTGTATTCGAAGGTTTGCTTTATAATTTCTAATTCTCGGTTTGCTTTTCTCACTACTATCCCCACCTGTTGCACCGCCTTCAGCTAATAATCAATCTCGACCATGGGTATGCAGATGTGTCTCTTGTATTTCAAATATTATTTTCTTGTTCAGTGTTGCCACAAGAATTTGTTACTAAACCATGGCAGACAGCCTTCACAGGATGTGGCAAAGACAGGAAAGTAGCCCAAATTTTACAAATTGGATATTATTCTGGCACTCAACTTTGACACACATATACGGTAGAGTATTACAGTACCTCTATACTAAAATAAATATGAGCAGCTAGTTTGGTATAAGGAGTATTTCAGTATAAAAGGAATCCAACAAATTTGTGCAATACAGTACAGTCCATACTTCACTTTAACAACTAATTGGTACCATGAAAACGGTCGTTAAAGTCAAAATCTTTAATGTGGTGAGTATACCGTAAGTTGCGGTGTATAAGTCGACCCCCAAGGCCCAAACAAAGGCTAGGCTAGAACTAAAATGTGGATATAGCCTTTGGCGAAAGTGTGAATAAGGCCACACCACTTTCAAGACACTTACCGTAATACCTTTAAATATTTGATATATATATATTATATAGTTCATACAAAAAGGGAAGTGGGCAACAGGATCTAAGTAAGACAGCAAGCAACCGCTAAAAATCTTCAGTAAATTATCTTCGTAAGAACTCTGGTAAATACCAAGCCAAAATCAACACCTCCAATAAAATATTATTTAATTACACATCATACCAATAAAGAACCTTGATAGTACCGCTATATACGGTACAACATTATGGTACACCTGGCTTATGATCCGCCATTTGCATCAGCTGGTGTAAACAAACTGCCAGGTAGTTGTCTGGCTGGCCGCTTGGGTTTAGTGGTGTTCTGATCGATTGTTTACTGTGCATCAGCTGTTGAAAATGGCATGTGGTGTTGTATTCGTTTAATTATACTGGAATTTACTATTTTAATATAACCGGTAATCTCTGTTAAATAAGTTTACCAAACATGAATTTCAGTAGGAAATATTAGCGGCAGGCCACGGGAGTTACGCTAAGTGATGCACAGCGAGTGTTAGGACCACTGTCCTGACTAATTCTTCCTCTAGTAAACCCTTCTGGTCCTTAACTAAAAACATCTGTAACAGCTTCTTCACACCTTCTTTTCCTCCCCTCTTCCATCCCAATAACTCTATAGCCAACTCTCCCCCTGACAAAGCCAACCTCTTTGGAGCCTTATTCTCCTCTAATTCCACCTTAGACGATTCCCACTCTATCCCTCCTGCCCCTGCACCTCCTACTGAACCTATGCACTTTCCTATAATCTCCACTCACAGGGTTGCCGGTGTGTTATCCAGGTTGGATGTGAGTAAGGCGCATGGACCGGACGGAATACCCCCTCGTGTTCTGAGGGAGTGTGCTGAAGCCCTGGCCCCTGTGCTTGCTCGCCTCTTTCGCCTTTGCCTCAAAACCCAAACTTTTCCTTCTTCTTGGAAGCACGCCTTGGTTCAGCCCATCCCGAAGAAGGGTGACCATTCTAATCCCTCTAACTATCGCCCCATTGCCCTAACTTCATCCCTCTCTAAGATTTTCGAAACTATCTTGAATTCCATTTTTTCTCCGTCACCTTGAACGCCTTTCTCTTTTGTCGGATCACCAGTATGGCTTTCGCCAGGCGAGATCTACTGGTGATCTGCTCTCCTATTGCACCCATCTTTGGTCATCCTCTCTTAGGGATTATGGGGAAACTTTTGTCATGGCTCTCGACATCTCCAAAGCATTTGACATGGTATGGCACAAGTCTTTGCTTTCTAAACTTCCCTCTTTTGGTTTCTCTCCCCCGCTTTGTTTTCTCATCTCTAGCTTCCTTGAGAACCGATCCATGGCAGTTGTTGTCAAGGGATCGATTTCTCGCTCTTTCTCTAGCAGTAGTGGCCTCCCACAGGGTTCTGTTCTTTCACCAACTCTCTTCCTTCTTTTTATCAATGATTTACTTCACACTACAACTGCAACTAATTCTATCCTCTATCAGTCTGTGCCTCATAGAGCATCAAACAATGTGTAAAACAATTATCCTTTACCTCATGCCTTTTTTTATTTAACATGCATTCTATGCTTACAGATATTTGTTTATCGTTATTTCAGTAAACTTAAAGAACCATCTAATGTACAGAGAACACAAACACAAAACAATACCTGTTAGCTAAGGTCTTGCACTGAGATGATCACATTGGTACTGTGTTCCTTACTGCTAATTCATCTAATTTTAGGCTCTAATTAACAATGAGTCATATACTGTACTGGGGGACCCCGGGTTACGAACTGGTTCCGTTACTGAGGACGTTTGTAAGTCAGACTTGTACGTAAGTCAAAACACATGCTATATGCATACTGTACTTACAAAACAATGTTTAGAATCCCACTATATCTTGGCCTAAGTCCTTATATACATCTAATATTAGTATTAGTATTGTTTTGCCAAGGAATAATTTGGTAAACTAGGTGTTTTGATTGTTTTCTATTCTAAGTAAAAGTCATTTTGGCAAGTTCAGGATTTTCTTCTATTTGTTGATGTACAGTACTGTATTACCTATGTAAGAATTTTCTGGAATGTATTGCATCATGTTTGTTATGATTTATTAATTATTTTAAGCCTAGATCATTCTAGAATTCTCCAGGCATGTCTCAAACCGACCTCCAGTGTCTGGACATCGCTAGAATGCTCTAGGTGACTGACAAGACATATATAAATAATAATAATAATAATAATAATTAACGGTTTATTGAAAGAGCTTGGCAGCCAGAAGGCTGAAAATATACAGTTACATATTTGGGGAATGGGTTTCGAATTACAAATAATATACAAGTAACATAAGTGACACAAATAAGATATATAATAACTAGATGGGGAAAAGCTCAAACTACAGTTCATTTCAACATAGTGACAGTGCAAGGAGCAGTGTTTACTGGGAGTGAATACACTGGTTTATTACAAGTTATTGATAATTTTTACAATGGTTGGGACTGGGCTGTTCTTATAGCGATCAGTGGCAGCGAGCGGTCTAGAGTTAGTCAACCGTTTCTGCTCAAGAGTGTAAAGGACAACAAGCCTATTAAGACAACTGAAGATAATTGCTATGCAAGTACAGGATATTGTGGAATTGTTATGATCAATATAAAGTGAAAAGACTAAGACTAAGGAAATGTACACTGGTAGTGTGCCGACTGTTTTCAAAGTGAGAAGTCCAGCTGTGAAGCCATTAGCCTGTGAACAGTGTTGTGAGGAATTAGAGACTATTAAAGATGACTACATTGCACAAGTGTGTTTCTGTAACCTGGTGGAAATCTACCTCTTGGTTGTCTGTACACTGATACCAATCGTCGGGAAATTATCAGAGACTGGCGGGACAGCCAGTGGTAATTCAACTACACTTGTGAGATATCCACTGCTTCTGTACATACAACCCTGGCCGCTGGTAACCAGTGGTGGAAGCTGGGTAAGTGGTGAGAGGAGGGTCGTAACATTATTATACATTTAGTTTCATTTTGTTACATGTTAAGGAAATGTATATTTTTGAAAGAATGTACAGTACTGTACTGTATCTCTCAATATATAGTAAACCGTCTCGATAAGGGATATTCTCAATAAGGGACGTCTTTTTGTCCTGTATAATTAGCAGACTCGACTGGTAAGATGTGGGAATGGGAACATTGTCTGTTATTGACCAAGTGTACTGCCCCCACCCCCAATGTGACGCCATGGCATACACAGAACAGCGCTGCAACAGCCAAACGTCTCGGAGTCAGCTGGGTGACTTGCCGGCTGAACTGTGTCGGGTCATCCTGAGAATTGTTTGAGTGTGAAAGGAGCTTTTTTTTTTACATAAAATATGTGTTATTTTATTTTATGATATGATATGTATCAATTTTATTGTTTATCATAGCATTTATAAATTTTTGGCATATACTGCTTGAAATTTGTTTGAATTAGGCCCACCTTAAGCTCACTAAATCGTTTAACTCTGAATCAAAACATTTATAAAGAAATTTGGTGCTAATGATTCAACCATTTAACTTTGCAACTGATTATAATAGATTCATTTATTACTATTAGGAAGCACAGTACCGCACTCAGTGTTTACTACCTCACTGTCTGAGCATGGCTTTCACCTTCCCTGTTTTGCCGTTATCCCTCATTTGGCAATAATTTCACTGAACGTTAGATTTTTTCAGAAACGCAACTCCATCATCAAGACCAGGAAGGGATATCTACACAATATGTACTCCACACAAATATATATTACTCCACACTGTACAGTCGGAGACAAAATTTTCCTCCCCATGGTGAGACTTGAGACACAGGAATGAGTTTCCAAACCGACTCTCCCTGACTGTATCTATGTTTGGGGTCAATGATACTTCAGTTAGGGCAGGGGCGAACTTTTAACCCCGGCTGTACCTACCATTGTATGCCATTATTTCTTACCATATGACACACACCATTATACACCATACCCACCATTACTCACCATACCTGCCATCATTCACCCTACTAACCATACACCATACATGCCATCATTCATCGTACACCAGACATGCCATGATTCACCCTACCCACAATACACCATACAAGCCACCATACACCATACCCACCATCATTGACCCTACTTACCATACACCATACCTGCCATCATTCACCCTACTCACCATACTCCATACATGCCATCATTCATCATACACCAGACATGCCATCATTCACCCTACCCACAATACACCATACAAGCCACCATACACCATACCCACCATCATTGACCCTCATTGCCCATCATTCTACTTACCATACTCCATACCTGCCATCATTCACCCTACTCACCATACACATGCCATCATTCACTACTCACCATACCTGCCATCATTCACCCTACTCACCATACCTGCCATCATTCACCCTACTCACCATACATGCCATCATTCACCCTACTCACCATACATGCCATCATTCACCCTACTCACCATACATGCCATCATTCACCCTACTTACTATACACCATACCTGCCATCATTCACCCTACCTACCATACACCATACCTGCCATATTTATTATTATTATTATTATTATTATTATTATTATTATTATTATTATTATTATTATTATTATTATTATTATATTTTCGCCCCCCAGGCCCTGATTTGGGTCAGTGACCTGTGCCCGAGTGGGTTAATCCCTGTAAAAAAAAATAAATCACCATACTCCATACCATAGCGTCTGAATGACCCATTAGTCATATGGCATGTAATATATAATTTTATATTATACAGGTACTCATAGCATACCTCCCCCTCTCCTACAATATACAGGGTTTAGTATGCTTCCCATTTAGAGGTAAATACACCGGTCACCATTTTGACTTAATGTTGCACTGAGCCGGTGTTTGCATACTCTCCCAGGAAGAACAAGATCATAAAGAAAAAATACATTTAGGCGTTAATAATTTTGCAAATAATTCACTACGAAGATTAATTATAGTTGTTTTTTTAGGGGGGTGGCGCAGAATTTTTATACCTATAATAAATGGTAACAATGTTGAATGTTTTAAAGAATCAGTCTCACCTAAAGTGATTCATATGTAGCATAGATTACGGATTTCAAGGTAGTAATGTAAAATTGTATAAAATATTTTAAGAAATGGCCGGTGCAGTTCTTGAAATAAATCAGCCAACCGGGTAGAATGCGGGTAGGGACGATCTCGCAAGAACTGTATTTTTAGCATCCTATTGCCGTCATTCATGTCTGCCCCATACTGAAGCGATAAACAAATTAACTGGAAAAAATTACCCAAATTATAATGTAATTCTGACCCCTGACTACAAACCAACAATAATTCATTAGGTATTATAAGTTTTTTAAAGAAATTACATAGTTTGTGTGTGAATTCTGTACAGTACATTAATTCAGTAAAGCCTGGTAGTCCCATTACCAACCACAGTTCTCTGTATCATAAAGTTAACATCATCCACCTCAATGTGCTTCAGACTTTACCCTGGCAACATTTTTACAATCTTTACATTGCCAGACGCCACCCACTGACCCCCACCCACTGACCCCCCACCCACTGACCCCCCACCCACTGACCCCCATATTTATTTATTCACAAGTATTATACAACACTGATATGGGTGTTTTTGTTAAGTACAATAAGTCATTTCTGCTTTTTCTCTAAGTTAGAAATTCTAGCATCCTGTTGTGAGTTTTGTAGACTAATAAAGCTGAAGTCTTGGCGGAGTGTTACGCAACTAAGACTTTTTATATAACGAGTTACGCGGTGACTTTACAGAGAGACTCATGTGTCATGTTAGCCAGGTACCACGATTCCTTATAGCCAGGAACTACAGCCCATGATTGCCACGAATCACGACCCATGATTGCCAGGAACCACAACCCATGATTGCCAGGAACCACAACCCATGATTGACAAGAACTACAACCCATGATTACCACCAATGATAGCTAGGAACCACAACCCATGATTGACAAGAACTACAACCCATGATTACCACCAATGATAGCTAGGAACCACAATCCATGATTGCCAGGAACCAAGGCCCATGCTGGCCAGACTAAAAATCCCCCGTATAGAAGTTAGACAAGGGGTGTTTCTGGTAGAGTTGGGCATGTGTCTATCAGTCTTGTCCTGAGTTTAGCTCCCGGCCCCAAACACAAAAACAAATGTATTATATATATATATATATATATATATATATATATATATATATATATATATATATATATATATATATATATATATATGTGTGTGTGTGTGTGTGTGTGTGTGTGCATGTATACAGTATATTCATACATATGTGCGTGTGTATGTATTATTGAATGATTCATGTAAACCAAAGACTATATTCTTTGATGTAAACATGGTCGTTTAAAGTGGGCGCCCTCAGGTGGAGATGTCGTGTTGCAAAACAGCTGATTGATCACATACGTACAAAGAAAAACATTCTACAGTATATATTGAACACTTATGTGTAATATGTACAACATGTTTTAAATTTGCCATTCATTTGTATATATATGGTAGTGTAATGTGATATTTTAATGTAATCGCAGTGAAAAATCTATCAATAAAAAATCACAAGTGATGCCGAATACTTCAATGACATGCAAATTTTTATTCGTTAAACCAATTTTGTTCATCTTTATACTAATATATGTACTATTAAACACCTAAATATTAGCTAGAATATTGGAAATTAGCAAAAATTTACAAGTGCCGGTGAAGGCGTGTTGCCAGCTGAGTGAGGCGCATGCGCAGGGTGGTGGCCAGCAGGAGGAGGAGGTCGGCCACACTCCTGTCCCTCACCACACACCGCTCAGTCCTCTCTACTGCAGGTCAGCCAACTACTTTCTTTTGAGTCTTTTAGCGACTGTCTAGGCCTTTATAGCATTTAATAATTCATAGCTTATTATATTTAAAGCGTAGAGTTGTTCATTGTCATGTTAATTCATTTGTTTGTGGGTTAAATGTGTGTGGCCAGGCCGGGTCATCCAGCCGGCTTGACTATTTGATGAATGAAAATGGCGGCTGATTGTTGTTAACCGGCTGATGTATTTTCAGAGTAAAACCCACAATCGCCGACATGAATGCTGCCAGGCTCGCTCTCCCCATCACCAGGACTGTTGCCGTGAGTAAATGAAAACCTGTCCAAAGTTTTATTGACCAATTTTCATCAAATAAACGTCTTCAAACTCCAAGGCGAGAGTCAGACTACTTACTCTAAGGGTTATGTAATTGTATTGGCTAGCTTAACCTCAATCATGTAAAGCTATTGGTAGTTTATGGCTGGTGTGAAGTAGTGTTGTAACTTGTCTATAGAATTTGGTGTGAACGTTAAATTGATAGGCAACTCATAATTGTTCGATTTTGGTATTTAATATACTGTATATAGAAAATTTGCACATTTTTAGTTCACGCCATATCGAAAATTAATTTACTAATTCCTCTAAAGTAGCCGACGGGTTGGGTGTTTCCCGTGGCTACAGGGGTGCTGGGAGTTATTACCCTCACAAAGCTGGATAGGGTGCCGGTAATTATTGATTTTAGCACATGACCTGGACTTTGGTAAGCAAATTGGCGTTTCTAATATATTTCTTTTTGTGCAATTTATAACTTTTTTGTGCTGGTGAGCAGTTGTGGGGATAAGACCCCCCCCCCTCCTATAGGGGCACTGCTTAACCTAAACAAACTGAACCTAATCTTAAGCTGATAGTTCCCAGACCACAGTGATATATTTGAAGGTCATGTCTTCATTCAGTTCAGGTTATGTGTTAAAACTAAGTTATTATAGTTTGTCCTGGTTAGGTTACATACTGTAGTTAGGTTAGATTAGTTTGGATATCGAAATACAGGAATGACCAAAACTATAATTTTAACAAAACTAATATTAATCTTGGACAATTATAGAAGTATGGGTATTTTACTTTTGGGCATCATGAGAATAAGAATTTCATCTTTGTAATCAATAGTTTAGACTATTCTAAGACACATTGCTTACTTGACCTTGCCCTCGCAAACAACTTGTATGCCGGGGGAGCCCGCCGGATAGGTTAGGTTAGGTTATTTGCGAGGGAAACATCACAGAAGTCTTGGAATAGTCTAAACTATTCATTACAAAGATAAAGTTAAGATTCCTCTTACCCGAAAGTAAAAATTTACCTAGGAATGCACTAATGAATATTGCCCAAATTAATTTTGGTTTCCACCAAAATCAATTGGGTGATAATTCTTGTCTATTTGCCAACCACAAGTTATGACCCACATAGTACCAAATTAGATACCATATCACTTTATCTTTTCCATTTGTAATTGAAGTTCAGGTTAATTAGAGGCAACCATTACCACCAGAAATGTTTTTGTTCATTTTTCCCACATGTTCACATAGTAAAGGTGAAGTAGTTTTTGTTTAATATAGCAATGGTCTGGTAGTTAGGGTCATCTCGTACCCAAGATAAATCATACTCAAAAGTTAACTCGTACCGAATTTGCACTTTGAAATTTTTAGATGGAAGCACAGGCTTTATGTAGTACTGCAGAATACAAGGTAACCACAATTAGACAACGAAAGTGGCATGTTGACAACACTTCTCCAGAGGCAGGCTGGGATGGTTGCATATAAAAATGTACAGTCGGTTCAAAGTAGTGATAGAATACTGCTAAGTGGATGTCATCAGAAATGAGGCTCACAAATTTGCAGAAATGTATCCCATGATTAACAACCTTAAGTAAGAACTGGATGTATTATTGTAACTTCTCGGCTCTTGATACTGATCTCAGTTTAGTATGCCATATTACTGGCTCTAATCCTGGCTATAATTTACATTGGTTTTACACAATTTCTTAAAACTTGTATTCTTGTCATAAGTGATTCATGGTATTTACTTTTTCTTTAATCATTCCACTTATACCGATACGTTGTGGGTTTTGCCTTTGGTTTCTTTCCATGACCATTGTTTTGGTTTTATCCACATTTATCTCAAGTCCTGTTGAATTTTCTTGATGGTTGTTGCTTTTAAGTGGAATGAATATTAAAAAAATAGTCCTGTAAATAGCCTGCCTCTGGAGAATTGTCAACATGCAGCTTTTGTTGTCTAATTGTGGTTACCTTGTATTCCTCAGTACTTCATAAAGCCTGTGCTTCCATCTCAAAAAAATTAAATCTGGAATTGGGTACGAGTTGGCATGGGTAAGGGTTAACTTTTTAGAGTACGGTATATCTTGGGTACGAGTTGTCTTGGCTACGAGATGACCCTAACCCAACTGAAGAGAGGGTGTCCCCAACTTACGAATGCCCACCAATATGAACAGGATTAAAGATGGTATTTTATTTTTCTATTTATTTTTTCTTCCGTTTACTGTGTTTTGTCATTCTATTTCTTTTCTCTTAAATTAGGTAATTTTAGATGTATATAAGGACTTGGGCTATGATATACAGTACAGTAGTGGGATTTTAAACATTATTCTGTAAGTATAGTATATACATAGCACGTGTCTCAACTTGCGTACACTTTTGACTTGAGAACGGAACCTGTTCGTAACCCGGGGACCCCCTGTACAGTATTGTACCCATACCCTAATCATGTGTGCAAGGGACACAATTCAGTAATGTAGATTGTCAGCATCATCTTCAACCAGTTGGAATGGATGCCAGACAAGTGCAGTTCATGTTCTAAGCAATCTCAAGCTTGCACAAATTTTTCTTAAAATGAACTTAACCTAGTTTACTTCATTTGGTCAATACTAATTTTTGGAAGAAATTTATCTTGTTTATTTTTGCGAATTATTTTCATTAATTTATTGGACAATTTGACTATACGGTTGATACTACAACCGTAATGTGTTGATTTGAACCCAAGAAACCAATGAAATTCATGAAAACCTAAATGACCCAACTTGTGGTTTAGATTTGGTTGTTGCAAATGAAAATTAAGGTCTTGTTTCCATGGATATTTGCAATTGCATTGTCAAGTCACTCTTCTGTGACTTGCATCTTTTAAAACAAATTTTCTTAACCATTTGGCATTTGTTGCTTAGTTCATTCAAATATTTTTAGTGTATGCATTGCTGAAAGAATAGGGCTGTACTCTAAATAGACGATACTGTACTGTACTCTTAAAATTGATTATTACTGGTTTGTCAATGCAGCTTAACTGTGATGGTCACAGCCTACTTTAGATTCCTCAGTTTCAAGATCTTGTCTGTTACAGTGTAAATACATACAGGTGCTCCCTGACTTACGACGAGGTTAGGGACCCAAATCCAGGTCGTAAGTCCGACATAGATAAAAAAATTCAATTTTTTTTTTTTATAATCTACAATGAAATACAGTACAGTAAAAGTAATAATGAGGAATGGATACAGTACAGTGAAAGTAATAAATAATGAGGAATGGATACAGTGTGACTGAGCACTTGCCTTTAATGTAGTCAGCTGAATGCACATGGGGCCCCCATAATTTTCTAATTATACATGGAGACTACATTAACTGGAAACGTTTCGGTATAGAAAATGCGTGTGTCATTTGGAAAAAAAATGGTCACGACTGCGGCGGTCTAAGTCGGGGACTACCTGTATTTGAATTAAGTGTTGATCCATTAAGAAGGCTACTAGCAGTGCTGTGGTTCATTCCTGCTAAAGTTGAGTTTTGGTTCATGTGAATCCTTGTACAGTTTCATGTAATTTCGAATTGAAATTATATGAAAATCCTTGACATTGTGCATCTGCTGTTTAATTAGAGATTCTTGTCAGTTTTCATTAGTTTTAAATCGTTTACAAGAGGATTTATTTAAGCCTTTATTTCTACAGTAAAGGAACTTGAGTGCCATGAAGATATTCTAATATGGATTTAGGTGTTTGCATAATCTAATAAAAAGAATTAAACATGTACAGTTATTTGCATTATAACTGCAATGCTTAGTTGTATAAGATTGTGGAGCAAAATATATGTATAGTATAATTTAATGTTCATAATAATGCCCATTTAATATTTACATTTAAATATTCCTTTTGTTACAGGTGAGGAGCCAAGTTGTGGCCCGCCCATTGGCTGTGGCCCCACTAACACGTAGCTTCCAGACCACCACCACATCAAAGGATATTGATTCCGCTGCCAAATTCATCGGTGCTGGAGCTGCCACAGTCGGTGCTGCTGGCTCTGGTGCTGGAATTGGTTCAGTGTTCGGTTCCCTTATTATTGGCTATGCGCGTAATCCATCCCTCAAGCAGCAGCTGTTCTCTTATGCCATTCTGGGATTTGCCTTGTCTGAGGCTATGGGTCTGTTCTGTCTTATGATGGCCTTCTTGCTGCTGTTCGCCTTCTAAAAAGTTGAGTGGTGAAAGGACGCCCCACACTATCGGGCAGTGGTATTGCCAATGTGATGAGATGATCTCCCTACACCCATGGGCTGAGAAGAACATCTTATTTATAAAAAGGGTGGAGAGATACCATCTTTGAACTGTTGGCTTTGTCACTAGGAGATTTTATGAAAGGATGTATATAAGGTCTTAAGTTAAGTATGTGTCTTGTTGGCACGTATATACTCCAGTCTAGGCAATGTCAAAACTGCTAACACCTTTGCCTGTTAAGTGTTACACAAGGAATTCCTAATTGTGTACAATTCCAATGTATAGAAAAGTTTATAAATAAATTGAGAAATATTACTAATTTTCCATATTACCTTTTAACGGAAGCTTGCTCGAATGATTGAATGCTCAATAGCTACAAATGCTCTACTAAGGGTGGCTCAAACTAGCAAGTCAGTGCAATAGCATCCCAAAGGATCTCGTCATAGTGGTTTGTAACAATACTTGCAATTTTTACTGACATTTGTCATTAACTAATGTCTGATGCATGCTGGAAGCAATCATAAAAGAACATATTATACAGTAATGAAGTTGGGTTGACCAAGTGCTGAAGTTTGTATACATTTGTTGGTATTTCCTTAGTAGAATTGTCAGATTCTTTGTTACTTAGAATTGCAAATTTCTAAGGACTCATTTTCTTGGCCAATTAGCCACACATGCTTGAAATTGTGTTCATATGTGAATATCAAAATTAAATTTGTGTACAAGTTTACTTTCCTCACCTATAGTGGTTTTCCATCTGAGGAATTGGGATTGATATGTAATATTGCTATTTGAATGGTGTAGTAATACAGAAAACTTGCAAAGAAGTAGGTAGTACCTGTGATTTTATGAACTGGAGAAAAATACAGGGGGTCCCTGACTTAGGAATGCCTGCCAATACGAACGGGGTTAAACTTGAAATTTTCAGTTTTATTTACCCAATGATTACTTTTACTGAATTGTCATTTTATTTCTTGTCTTGAATCAAGTGATTTTAGGTGTATATAAGGGCTTTGGCGATGATATTGGTATTTAAAACATTCTTTAACTATGGTATGTGCACAGCATGTATTGACATAGGAACAGAACCCATTCTTAACCCAGGGGAGGGGCCCCCATGTAACTGAGGTACATACTGTATTCAGATATGAAGAGTTAGGAATTAATGTACAGTACTCTCTTTTTTTGGGGGGGGGCAGTGAAGAGATTACATGTTAAAGGTACATTGCAATTACATGGTTGGCTAGGCAAAATGTATTTGGACAGCTAAAAGCTTTTTACTTACTGCATATTGAGGTTATAAGTAATGAGGGAAATGGTGAGTGTATTAGCCCGTCTTATTGGCCAAAGTATTTATATAAATGGGTCAATTACATAAGACTTGTATAAATTTGTTGTTACTCATACTGTGATGTAACAAAAATTTTAAGTTTCGTAAGTGGCAGCGAAAAGGACTGGATCCATATCTAAGGTCTCATTTTCTTTTCCTGCAGTTTTTTTTTCTAAGTGCACGTGGATATTATACCATTGTGAGAAGTTTTCTGTCGAGTAATTTACATGTCATCCATAAAGATGTACAGGTTGACAATCCCTTATCCGAAATCCTTGGGACCAGAGGCATTTCGGATCTCGGAATTTTTCTGTTTTCAGAATGGTTAGGTTTTTTTTTTTGTATCCCATCCGGGCACAAGTCACTGACCCACATTAGGGCCTGAGGGGCGAAAATATAATAATAATAATAATTCATAGGTCTAGGTCGTGTTACTCTATCTTTTTTCATTCTTGTATTTCTTTATCATTATTATTTTTTTATTAATACAGTATTATCATTATTTTATTTTGGTGTATTTTTTAATTAAAATTTTTAACTAAATAATTACAGGTATTATAATTATTATTATTATAATTAGTATTACTATTACATTTTCGCCACCCCCCAGGCCTCGATATGGGTCCGTGATCTATGCCTGGGTGGGCTAATCCCTGTGAAAAAAAAATTGCTCCACAAAAAACTTTCGGTTTTCAGAGTTTCTGATAAAGGGTTGTCAACCTGTACAATTTTGTTTATATACTGTATCAATAACCAGTACCAAGTTGACATTATACAGTATTTCTACATGGTCTGAATATTAGAGCAAGTTCTTATTGTTACGGTGAGAATGTTACATGTCGAGCATAAAATATTCTTGATGGAGATTCAAACAAATGGCAAATTACAGGCCCCTTGTGACCACCATTCTGCCAACTTCCCAATTAGGCATGAGAGTGGTAAGAATTGTACAGGGAGAGCAGAGTAAATTAGTGGTTCATATATCCACATAGTATAGCAAGAATATATTGTACCAAATTTATACATGGTAATATAGTAGGATTCGTTTAAAGTTGAATTTGATAAACGGGTTTGCTAAAACTTGATGGTTGTTGTTGTGGTGTGCTATGAAACTTAAGCCATGAAAAACATCTGAAACATGAAACACCACGTAGGCATAAAGCTAGGAATGAGTTCTCTTGTGAAAGAAATATATACTGTACTGTATATATTTTCGAGAAACGCACACATCAAGTTGAGACAGTGCTGTGGTAGACATGAACAATTTAAGAGAATTGCCAAATGTGTCGACCTATAGTGAAGGATTAGACCAGTGGTTCTTAACCTTTTTCACTCCATTCCCCCCTGAGGAATTTTCAGCATCCTTGTGGCTGCCTTCATTTTTCTCCCAGAACAGAGACAAGTGATAAAGACTAAAGAATGATAAAGGACAGATAAATAGGACAAGAGTTAGAATCAGTGCCGGATTTAGACCTGTGGAGACCCCCCCCCCCCTCATTATAACTACCCAAGAGGGTGGGGTGGCGAGTGAAACGAGCCTAAACATCTGGGCGTTCCTGGGGGCACTGTAGGCCCCCGGGAAAATTTTGAAATTTGAACACTTCTTTGGAGAATTTTGAAGCCATAAGCAGTTATATTGAGGAAATTAGAACATTGAGAAATTTTAATTAACTATAGTATATTTATTGATAGTGTACAAATTCCCAACACACACACACACACAAAGTGAGACATGATTGGTGTCATTCATGTGGTTTCAAGTCGACCAGCCCTGATATAGTTACTACCGCACATGTGGAGGCCCCTGGGCAGCTGCCCACTTTGCCCACTCCTGAATCCGGCCCTGGTGAGAATGGCAAACACACACACACACATTCACATACATAACACGCCCATGCACTCGCACATAAAGCACACATACAGTCATGCACAAACATGCACACAGGTAAACATTCACACTCAAGCTAGCAAGCTGAAGTGTACTTCCTGTAAGCAAGAACACGCCTCCTTTGACAAGCACTGCCCAACTTGGAAGAATGAGAAGAATAGTGAGTCATACTACTTTAGCACTAAAAATGGTAGGATTATATAAGTAAAGAATGAGCATGAACAACAATGGCACCGATAAATAAGGAAATAATTAATAAAGGAAGTGTACAAATATTTCACCCACGTAAAGCAGCGACCACATGAATTATGAAACAAAATAAGTAACACCAATTACAGAGTATATTAGGCTTGAGTCAAACTCAAACACAATATATGGTTTAGAGACAATACACTCCACTGTTTTCGTGATGGTGTCCCAGGCCAGACTGAGATCATTCGGTCCTATTGTAGTGGATTCCTCCCTTACAGACGCTGTTTGTCGCTGAGTAGCCGACCCCGCGAATTCCCCAGTGTATGCCTCGTGGTCTAGGTCAACCAGCGCCGCCTTACATGACGGAGGTCAACTATTAAGCCACGCCTTCCTCCGCTATATAAGACCTGACCTCGTGGTGACCTACCTCTCTTTTGACCTATACCAACCGGCAAGCAACACATCCTCCTCCTCCTGCCTGGCGGCCCTCGCTCCCGCCGGCGAGCATGACGACCCACAAGCTGTCCTCCTCTGAGCACCCTCACCAACCAGCTCTCTCTACATCACGCTTGTAACCATGCTGCCTTCCCAGCACCAAGCTGCATTCTACATCCAATACAACATGTATACAGAGAGCACATTGTGAGTTTCCTTTCTCCATCCCATCCTGAGTGTGAACCAAACATCTCGTACCCTACACTATCACCAGCGCCTGTCACACAGACAGGGACTGGACCTGTGAAATCTTAAATAATCCCTAAAAAATAAAAAATAAATTAGCACCAGAGTATGTAAATATTAAAATTGTATTGTTATGATTAAACAAAATGACCAAAAAGGAATGAAAATTCTCTTCTGCCAAGTCAAAATAAGTAATACAAGTTTTGTTTAGTTCAGATTCCCAACATTATTTGGAAACGTACAATTTATAACAGCTCGCCGTGGCTCCCTTGGGGGCCATGGCCCCTAGGTTGAAAACCACTGGATTAGATAGACTGGATTCAGATACAGTACCTTGTTACAGTCTTGATTAAATAATGACATACATTGATTTTCATCTAATAAAGACCCCCCACACAATAATTGAGAGAAATAAGTACTTCATTTACTGTCACGTCCACTATCAGTGTTTCTGCCCAGCATCCCACTCACCCTCACACATTATTCTTAGATAAGTACAGTAATTGATATTTTCAATACTTTTTATCTATTATAGGAAATTAATATTTCTAATTGACCAGTTGCAGATTGGGAAGAAGTGTCAGAGTGAGTGGTACCTGTCTCCATTTCAGCAGCTCTGGGACACACATATGTGCACTACCTTACAGATTTTCATAAAGCTCACAAATCCTTAATACCTTCACTTATAACTTGAACATTGGCCTTATTTTGGGTGACCTTGCACCTCAGTGAGTGAAGACAGCGTTACTGTTGTAATACAAACATTCAAGATGTTTGTCCAACAACCATCTTGGTTGTTGGACATGTAGGTATGTCATAAAAACGTCATGTAAGTGCACACTGGTTCAGGCTGTAAACATACACCAGGTACAGTATACAATTTCATAACATCCAAATTGGACAATTGTCACAAATCGTATTAATACACCAGTGAGTTTATTCTGAATGTGTAGAGTGCTAGAAATCATTAAACTTTATGCTATAATGAACCAACTACAAAAATCCTGTTCTGTTTCACATGGTTATTACCAGAGGTCTCGTGACACTCCTGGCCTTTCCCACCCAGCCCCTCAACAACAAATTATGTGATTCATATATAACCAGTTAACTTCATGTCTCCTTTTTGTACTGAAAGCTTTTGTTAAACAATCTACTCACCAATGAGTTTCCTTTCTCCATCCCATCCTGAGTGTCAATCAACTATCTCATAACCCCACAGCACCACGTCTCAACATGAAGAATTTTTCACTCACTGAAACTAGATGTGAGAAAAATGTGGATATGGGTAATTATGTTGGTAAGGAAGTGAAGTTTTCTCATATTGTGAAAAGGTGAACCTCCAACAAACTATAATAAATATGATGTTTATATCTAGTTGACTCGTCTCCGATAGGGCTGTTCCTTAGTACTACCTCACTAAGATTATTAATTATAAAGTAAAAGTTCGAGAAAATTATGTTCATAGCTACAGTAACCTTGCAGTGATCCTCTCAGTTGATCAAACAAATATGTTGACACTTTAAAAAAGATGGTTCAATGTGTGTAGAACTTCTAAATAATTTTTAGTGTTATGTAACTCTTCATCTTGACAACATATTTTGTCTATAGCTGCTAATACACTTTTTTTTTTTACTTTCTAATGTAAAGTCTAATTTCGTGTACTTCATTTCTTGGTTCATACCAGTTGCTTCTGTTGGTCAGCAGCAGGAACCAGTCTTGGCCCTGTTTAGGATGTTTAAACTTCGACATCATTTTATAAAAAAAGGAAATGCCTTTGATATTTATTGCATATAATATGCGAAATATATATTTTTAATGAATTATACTATATAGCTTGGATTATAATAACTAATAATGATAATAAACCTATTTCAGAAATTGTTGTTTTATTGATTACATTGCTAAGCACCAACTAAAAAAGAAAAGTTCAGAACAAAAAACATTTCTGTATATAATAGGAGCTATAATATACATTAATTATATAAATAAATAAAAATTAACATGTAGATAAATTGAGAGTCATCAGTAAGTCGAGGGTGTGAGGTTGACACCATCAACATCAACAAATGGTGGAGCTGACGCAGTAACACTCCTCTACCATGCTCGACTTCTTCGCCGTCATCACCAAAGGAGGGCTGGTGCTCTGGTATTTCCAAGATGCTGCACAACAACTCAAGACCTCCATTGACGCCATTAATGCTCTTATCAGGAATGTTGTGTTGCAGGTGTGTGTTGTTTAATGACCAGTTCCAGCTCTGAAGGCAACATCTGTGTTACATTATATTACGGAGAAAAACATTAGGCCAAGTTTTATCGTAGCTTTATGTTCTTATTAATTAGATAATGACTGAGTTATTTATTCAAGCACGCCTTTCACCTATATCCAATGTGATCTTTGACGTACAGCTGCTCTACCTGTATCCATTATGGTAACTTAAACCCTAATTAAACATCAAGTAAGCCGTAGTTATTATGTAGTATTATTTTACTTAAGGACATAGCATGCCCAAATGTTATAAACTCCTGAAACATTTAGATCTGGCCATTCTGAGCCTTATGAACCCCTTATATACATGGCAGAAATGGATAACATCGACAATTGAATTTGATTGATTTTACATAGTTTTCAGTCTTTTGAGGGGATTTATTGGTCCATCACGCATGGGCAATAGACTGACTTCATTCAGTCGTGACCAATGATTTATCGATATCATCACGTAATTTTTTTCGAACAATCGCATTTGCTTTTTTCAACGGAAACGGCCTGGGTAATTTCATTGACCGGTCTCACAGTGGCCATGGTGGAGGTTGATTGTTATTTGTGCTCCTACGATTATTTTAAGATTATTGCCGGGTTGTACGAGATTTTATAGATTTGTCCAGGAATTGAGTAAAATGATTTGTTTGGAAGATCACCATTCAGTTAACTATTGAGAATGTTTTAGAGGTGAGAGTTATGGGTAAATAGCAGCAGCTGAGAATATATCCCAATGTGCTCAAGTTGTTAATTTTGATAGGCTTGCTGTGGATGGATTTTGACAATGTTTTATTTATTTAGTATCATGTATTATAAAAGAATATTTATTTGGTACTTGATAAGTATTTGATAAGTAGGAGGGCTAATTGAAAGATATCATAACCTTTATTCTTTGAGTTTGATTAATTATTAGATAGCATATTTCATTAGAGGTGTTTTTTTTTTATTTATTGATTGATTGATTGATTGATTGTTCATGTGCTTTAAATGTATGTAATTGAAACTCTTCATGTGTGAAACTTTTCAGGAGCGAGGAGGAACTGGATTATATGTCCATGGGAACTTAGCACTCAAACAACATTTAGATAATGAGTTTGACTTGCTGTTTGTGGCTGTTTATCAAAATATATTACAATTGTCGTATGTCGACAAATTCCTTTCTGATGTTCAGCGGGAATTTCGTGAACGCTACCGAGATCAACTCAAACAGGGCTTATACTATCAGGTTGGTGCAGTGTATTTATCTCTCTATTTTATTTTAGTGATCTGTTTTCAATTACTGTACTTCTACTTGAAAACTAATCAGTATATAACTTTGTCCATATGTTCATACTCAGATAGCTACCTTTGGAAATACTGTACAGTACATGTATTTGTATTACAGTACAGGTATATATTTATATTTGTGTTGCCTCAAGCCATTTCCCATTATAAGATAGGGTGGTTAAAATCTAAAGCAAATACACACACAGTTTTTCTTTTCATTTTATGTCATTCTCTCATTCTTACTACTGTAATTGGTTTATTTGGCTGTGGTAATTCCTTTTTACAAAGTGACCAAATTTATTTCCAATATACCCATACTGTCTCACAACCTTGCATCAACCTTTAGCATCACTTACCTCCACAAAAAGTACTCACTGTCATGCTCTTTCTTCATCCATTCACACTGCCTCCTCCTGGATGTATATTCCCTTCACTTCTTGTCTGTTCTTCACCTCTTTCTTCCACTTCCATAGTGGTCTTTGCCTCTGACCACCCATTTTCAAGTTATACACTAGTTCCTTCCCTTCTCATCCTCTCAGTACAGTACTTTGTGAACTTGCGCTGATCTGCTCCCTGTCTGACACTTCTTTCACTTCCTCGTTTCCTCCTCTATGTTTTTCATATTCTTTGCATTATGTCCATATAACATATTGCAGTGAAACCTGTCATTTCTATTGCTTGTTTTCTCTTGCATCCAGAATCCTCAGCAATTCTTATAAATCCCTAGCTTTATCTCCTTTGATATAGTTCTCTCTCCATTTATTCCCAGTGCATCTATTCCTTTCGTTCCTCCACTAGCCTTTGGTTAATTTCCTCACTCAATTTTCCATTTGCAGACATGTATGCTCCCAGGTACATGTAACACCTCATTACCTACATTACATCAACAGGCAAGCTAGCATTCATATCTTACATCTCCCATTACTATGAAAACATTACCGTAGGTTACCTTTCAGGGTGGTATTTTTTTTCTTCTCCAGAGCTTTGACTTTGCGCAAGAATATGGACAACTTCTCCGTATAGCTGAGGTGGAGTCGAGGATGGTGAAGGAGGAGCTGAAGAAGCCAAGAAGCTTCATGGAGTCAAGCAAGTCAAAGAAAACAGTAGACTCCATGATCAAGCAGCGCGGTGGAGAGCAACCAAAGAAGCCCATCAAGAAGAAGGAGGGTAAGGAGACACATGAGGATGATAAATGACTCGGATATGAGAGTGAACTGCTGTACAGGTATTGGGTGTGAGAGGGAGCTTCTGGGTGGTGGTAAAGGGAATGAACTAATGGTTGATGGTGGTTAAGGGAATGAACTAATGGTTGGTTGTGGTAAAGGGAAGGAACTAATGGTTGGTTGTGGTAAAGGGAATGAACTAATGGTTGATGGTGGTAAAGGGAATGAACTAATGGTTGATGGTGGTAAAGGGAATGAACTAATGGTTGATGGTGGTAAAGGGAAGGAACTAATGATTCATGGTGGTAAAGGGAAGGAACTAATGATTCATGGGTTAAGTACAGGCAGACTCCAATTTACAAGATGATTATGTTCTTGCAATATATTTTGTAAATTGAAGCACATTCTCCCATATACTTCCATTATAAAAGTTGAGATATGTTCTTCAGAAAAATAACTCTAAAACATATTAAAATGGCACACAACATATAAAAAAACCTTTTGGTGTACACAGTGATTATAAGACAATAATGAACATATTAAGTGAAATACTATACATTTAGGACAGTAATAATTTTGTACGTAAAGAGAAACCAGATGAGAGTTGAAACGAAGCGAACAGTATGAAACTTTAAGCCAACATCTGTAATAATTATATTAGCGTAGTAATACATTGACTTCCATTATGCACTTAGAGATACTGTACTGTACAGTCTCTAAAAAAAGAAACAAAACAAGCTGAACCCCTGATGAGTTATGGCATCATCGTAAATTACTGCTTTGTTTACGTGGAACGAACACTGTTGTCACCGCTGCTGGTTCAAGCATCAGGTTGGTTGTGCTGTTTACTCTTTGGTTATTGATTTAATTTTGCTTTTGTGGTGCTTTCAAACAAACACCAAAGTGATAGAACTGAGTTTTAAAAAGGGGAGTGTAAAAAATCTGCTCAAAAAAGAAACAAAAGTGGAAATTCTGTTGGGTGGTGGTGAGGTGCAAGAGGGAACTGTTGGGTGGTGGTGAGGTACAAGAGGGAACTGTTGGGTGGTGGTGAGGTACAAGAGGGAACTGTTGGGTGGTGGTGAGGTACAAGAGGGAACTGTATGTAAAGGGTTTATGTAAATGTGTACACTGTATTGGAAATTTATGTGTGTGTGTGTGTGCATAAAAGTTCTGTCCAATATGCTTACCAGTCTCTAGAACTGTTGTTGAATAATGGTTTAACTTTCTCCTGTAGAGTAAAGGTTATACTTCAAAATCCCAAATACTGTACTTGGGACCAGAGCCATTTTAGATAACTGACATTTTTTTAAACTGAAGGACTTGAAAACCCTCAAATATTTCACAAGACAGTTATAAAATACAGTAATATCTCTGTTAGCCGGAATCCCTCCAACCCGGAACTGTCGGATAGCCGTAATTGAAATTTTCTCAAAAAATTGCGAGAAAATTTTCCCGATACACGGAAAATTCTGGGGATGGGCGAGTTTTTTCTGGATTTGAGAGATGAAAATTAGGTGCATTTTCTGGAAATTCCAGGGATGGGGGATAAATGTCTGGGTTCGAGAAATGATGTAATGGGCAATTTCTGGAACTTCTGAGAAAATTTTTCCGTTATCTGGAAAATTCCGGGGGTGAGGGATTTTTTCTGGCTTTGAGAGAGTCATCTCGTTACCCAGAAGTGCTCTGCACCAATTGTTCCTGCTAACTGAGAATACTGTTCCACTGTAATATTAATACAGTATATATAACTGAAATTCAACTGATTAACATAATAAATATGGTTAACAATAATACAAAAACAAGTTACAGTATACCCCTGTATAACAGTACACATTTTTTTTTGTACTATACAGTATACACCTACAATTAAAGATTTAAAGTACAATACTGTATAGGGCTCACTTTTTTTAATGATTTTCAAAGTTTCCTGATAACCGATGTCTGGATTTTTGAAGTGCAACCTGAGCTAAATTGTTGATTGCTATATTTAGTCATGTGAGTCATGTTACCTAACAGTATATGAGCCTAACATATATATCTGATGTCTTGATTCTTATAACATATTTTAAGAACACTAACTATTTTAGGCTGCATGTACTGTTTTACTCTGGTGATGGGAGGCTCACCTTCTTCTTTGTTACAGGTAAAGGCAAGAAGAAAGACAATGAATTCAATAACAACAGTAAGTAAATCCATTTGCTGTGTGTAGATAACTTTGTCCACCCCCTCATGTTAAAGCTCTCTTGGAAGCATGATTGTAGTGCAGTATATCCTAAACAGATCTCCCGTAACTTGATGCTAGACCAAACTTGAGGTACTGTAATTATCAACAGTAAAATGTTTTTGTGATCGCAATGAAAGTTTATCAAAGAAGACTATTATTGTAGAGACTTGCAGCTGCCTCACTTTAAAGGTCAAATCCAAACCTACTTTTATTTGGTGTTATACTAGATGATATTCTTAAAATTGTCAAAACATGAAACAATGTCTTTAGTATAGCTTTAGTGTAGAACCTGATTTTAATAAGGCCAAGCAAAAAATAATTATCATATCTTAGTTTACCTTAAAGATTATTGGTAAATTATTAATGACTTTGGACATATATTGCATATTGATAAACAGGAATCACCAACCACGTCCATAGACAAAGCCTGACAAGCTTCTAAAACAGATGGTTACTGGGTTTAGTACAGTAATTGAGATGGTAAGCAGGAAGCAAACCTTTGAAATGTAGAGTTAAGATAGTAGTAATTGAAGGGATGGTATCATTAAAAAAAAAGAGACAAAAGCTTCTAGTTTCAAGGATCTCTCCTCGGGGTGAAGGTGCTGGATTGGCTGGAGGTGCTGGGCTGGGATGATCAGTGTGACCTTTCCATTTCGTGATGAGATGGGTACTGAGGCATTGTTGTTGGTAGCACATGAAGTCCGCATGTCGCAGTATGGGAGAGGAGAGTTTATCTCATAATTTTGAGTTAGTTTGCATGTTTTTTATTCAAATAGGCCCGTGAAAGATCAAAACATTACCGTATGTGACCCAAAGCTCTATACAGTATATGCATTTCATATGATGTAGCCCAAAGCCAGCAGCTGCCTTCATAAAATCTGTTCTAGGCCCTGGTTGTAAAGCTCATGTGAATGGAGTTTAGGTTGGGGTATTGAGATGGCAACTGTACATCCTGAGAGAGATTATTGACTATAGATCTCAAGACAAAGGAGACTGGACCTTTGATTGACTGACCTTGCTTGATTTCTTTACCCTTCCTACCCTCCAGCATCTGTAGGTGGAAAATTTGAATATGCTTTAGTTTTGTCAATATTTGGGGGATTTTAATTAAATTTAAAGGGCAGAAGTCTTGTGTCTTTACCATTTGTCACATCAAATAGGCTGTTATCAGGTTTGAAAACAAGGAACATCATCTAATAAAGTACTTTTTTCTGGAGTTGCCCTTCATAGACCTTATGGTGATAGATTTTACACAGTAAACCAAACTGAGGATATTAATTGCTCCTAAAGAATTCAGTTGACATGTCAGAAAATTCTATATGAATATTTTTCTGGAATGGTTAGAGTGATTATTATTGATTTGAGGATGAATCATATGATGTCTCCATCAGTGATGATGTGGAGTTGGTAAGTAAGTCACAGTAAAATGAGTGATTGGATATTATTCTGAATTTGTGTTTGTTTCCTTTCATGTCTAGTTACATCACATTAATTAAATATCAAAAGTTAAGAAAATTTACAATATTTTGGCCAAATCAACTGTCCAATCACCAGCTTAACAATACAGTAATATAAACTTGTTAGAGGAAGTATAGTTTAGTGTCTCTAACAGCGGTTTACTTTTTATTGCCACTAATTCTGTCATATAGAATTTGTATTTAAGGATCATACACATTACTCAGAGCCCTCCAGACCTAAAGGCAGAGAGTAAAGTGGATTTAATAGTATGTTCTAATAGAATTTGTTGTCAGGAGTGAACATTTGATGAGAAAAGATTTATAAATGTGGAAATTGTAAGGGAATAGGAGATGGATAGGGGTAAGTGGATGAGTTATTGAGAAGATATCACATTAAACAATACAGATTATATGTAGTGGGAGTTAAAGTTAACCTCACGTGATGATTAAGGTTAACCTCACGTGATGATTAAGGTTAACCTCACGTGATGATTAAGGTTAACCTCACGTGATGATTAAGGTTAACCTCACGTGATGATTAAGGTTAACCTCACGTGATGATTAAGGTTAACCTCACGTGATGATTAAGGTTAACCTCACGTGATGATTAAGGTTAACCTCACGTGATGATTAAGGTTAACCTCACGTGATGATTAAGGTTAACCTCATGTGATGATTAAAGTCCGCAGTGTGAATGGATATCAAGAGCTCTTATATGGTGGTCTTTGATTTACTCTACTGTAATATACTTTTTTCATTGAAGAATATAAAGATATTGAGTACTGTATGTTGTTAATTTCCTGTGAATTATTCATGAAACTGAAAATTAAGTAAAGTAGATAAAAAGAGATCCTTCATTAACCATATGTTTTAAGTGCAAGAATATAAGTTGTCATAAGCATTGGATGATTATTGCATTGAACAGAGGAGCAGAACTTTTATACTAAAAACCTGCTCTTTGTTTTGAAAGAATGGAACTGCTATTGGGATAGACGAGAACACTAATGCACTGGATGAAGAGACTATAAAGAAGAACCGGGAGAAGTTGTTCACCAAGCGAGGTACTCCTAAGGCCTCCAAGCTGGAGAAGACTAAGAGCCCCAAGCCCAAAGGCAAGAAGGTAAATTTTGAAGTTCACGATGTACTGTACAGTAAAGTATATGATGAGTAAGAAAGCCTTTGTGGTTTGATCTATTATTTTTGTTTTTTCAGTAGCCTGATACTGTATCTGAATACTGTAATAGGATTGTACAGTTGTGCACAAAGAATTTGGCAGGCAGGGCGGACTTGGTGTACAGAAGGGTAGGGGTAGGTGGTGACTTGGCAATGCTGCATAGAGGTGGTAATTAAAAATCTGCAATTTTCTTTTTTGTGCCACAAACTGATTTTTATTGTTTAATTATGAGGCAGATGTAGCTTAAATCTCTCTCTCTGCCAAATTGTTTTTGTCCACAACTGTGCCTGTGTGTATAACCAACAGTATCTTTATTTTCATTTACGTACTATTATCATTACTCTTTAATACAGATGACACTTATTTTCATTCATTCTCTTTAAGATAATTAAAATGACTGTGATTGCAGGGCAAAGAGGCAACTGTGTGGGACTTGGATGGGAGAGACTCTAAAAGCCTAGACTTCTCGAAGCCTGGTGGTGTTGGTGGGGGTGTTAAGTCTTCCCTTCGCCCAGATTTCCTACCAAATCCATCCCAGGTAAGATTTTTTTTTTCATAATAGGGAGTTCCAACTGAGGTTATAATTCTGAGAGGAGAGAAAACTATGATTAACGGTGTTTTTCATAGTCTGTACGTGGATGTCATCTTCTACCACTCATCTTGTTTTTCTTATTTCATATCTTGATATTTAAATGTTACTGGTATTTAACTAAGATATAAAGACTATGGAGCTCCTCCTGTTCCCTTTAAGCAGGGTGAGAGCCAAGAATATTGCTAATGCTTTGTGACTTGATTGTTATCCTGAAGCACTGAAACAGGAAGCTCTCTCTCCTTGGGTAATATACTGTACAGTAATAATAATAATATTTTTCGGTTAAGTTGTCATACAGCTTTTTATTTGGATAAGCATGTTTATAAACTATGATGTTTTACAGTTCACCGTGAATGTAGACAATGAAGGTATACAATGCAGACACTACCTCCGCCGATTCCCTAGCAATGCCCCCCTTCCACACGTCTCGCCCCCTCCCTTCCCTCATTGCGTCAGCTAACTCGTGTGCAAAGGAATGTATATTCCCTTTGTGTTTGCCGTTAGGACAATTATTTCTTAACTTTTTTCACAATATGTATGTAGGATGGCGTGTGCATGTAACTGAGTAAAAATAAAATACGAGATGAAAACCAACCATAACACGACAGAGCTTGTCCCAGTAGCTCGGTGGTTACAGTGACGAGTCTAACCCGGCTACAATGGCACCAGCGATGTTAACAGACAAATGTGAAAAGAAAGTTATCTGTAATTCTTCATTTGTATCAGGTATTTGTAGATTTAAAAACAAATTTTGCAGATATGGTATTATTAGATTATAATGCTTGTAAGAGTTCAGAAATGGTTACTGCTTAGCTATCTCTGAAGAGTAGGGTGTCTGCTGCATGGACGTTAATTGTCTCAAGTTATCATCATCAATACAGAAATTATAAATAGAGTTTTAATATTTACAATAAATATTTTTTTATTTAATTAAAAGTAAAAATAATATTTTTAATTAAGCAATAGCATATTTTTAATTTTGGAGTAGGAGTAGGTAGAATTTAGCCTACTGGAGACAGCAACTGGGTGATTCATTAGCTTATGGGAGACCTCAACTAAGCATATGGGAGGCAGGCTTTTTTTTTAGCCATTTTCGGACAAAAAAGTGCATCTTTTATGCCGCAAAATACTGTAAGTACCTGTACTGTATTGTACAGAAAATATAGCAAAAAATATCAAACCTATGCAAATTAACCAAGCCCTCAGTAAACAGTATTAACCTAACTAGCAGCATTTCACATGTAGGAAATACTCCCACCAACCAGCGTTCCACAAGTTGAAATTCTCCTTTCTGCAAATTACCAGATCTGATTAACTACAGGTATAGAAAATAAGTACCTAATATACGGTGGCAGTTGACATTGATTCTGAACACATAAGAGATAAAAGTATCATAGATCATCCTCATTTTTGGGGTTTTAATTAGGTGGATATAATCATAATTCACTATCTACAGATTGGGACACTTTCGGGAAATCTGAAAGGTATGGACATCCCAACCGAGAGAGAGACCACAGACAAGAAATCGTCCTCTGGTAAGTGTTTATCCATCTATCTCGCAATCTGTTATCTTTTGTGTGGAGAACATATTCACTATACACAATAAATCACTTGTTGCATTGTTTCACAGCCCTTCTGCATATCTGTATACAGTACATGAATCTTTTTCTACTGTATTAAGAGAAATAATTTATTTTTAGGTGGAATGTTTTCTATGTTCCGGGGGCTAGTTGGGGGCAAGACCCTGACTGAGGCAGATGTGGACCCTGTTCTTGAGAAACTGAAGGATCATCTTATTGGAAAGAATGTAGCTTCTGAAATTGCCAATAAATTGTGCCATTCTATTGGGAAAAAACTGGAGGGCAAAGTAAGTGAGTTTGAAAAGTTTTGTAATAACAGTTTGATTGTTGCCTTCTTACAGTTCCATTTCCGAGACCTTTCATAAACCGGATATCTTTTTTCCCCCCATGAGCTTCCATTATAAAAGCTGAGATTCAATGATATGTACTTTAAATTGCCACAAAGCATGTTTTTAATGACAATTTATGGTATACACATTGATTATAAGCCATTAATAAACATAGTACAGTGGAGTCACAGAGTATGCGACCCTTTTATACGTGCCTGACGCCCTAACCCATCCCTTACTCTGGGGTTTCGCTCTGGCTACGGCATCGCTCACTAGCTCGGCGTGTTTATCAATTGTCCGTGCTCGTTTGAGGGAAAAAAATAATTACAGTTCAGAAATATCGGTGTTATTACAAAGGATGCACTCCTAAAAGTCATTGTGAATAACAGATTTGCAAATATCGAGGCAATTTTTCCCATAAGAATCAATGTAATTTGGGGGGATGGATTCCCAGCCTGTAACTTTCACCACATTTTTTTTGTACACTTCTCATTATCTGAGGCTATTAGAGACCAGGGTCGCGTGTACAAGTATGTCCCGTAAACCAATGTCCCATTAACTGCTGCTTTGCATAACCGACGATTATACATACGTGTATGTTAGGGAAATACCCCGCAAGTTTCACTGACAACCCCATTGATCCGACAATTGAAGAAGGAGCAGCAGAGCACTTTTGAGTTTGGTGTGTGGAGATATGGCGGGAATTCTTGCCATGAGTACGCTAATTTGTATTACGTGAATTATCAAGACTCTTCAGTGTATATGTTCATATGTATTTATCTTCTTTCTCTTCTCTTTTCTTCTTTCTCTTCTTTTCTCTTCTCTTAGTTTTATGCTTTCTCGTGTAATTTTAATTAATTGTTATTAAATGTCACTTTTATTTTAAAAAATGAAAGTGATTGTTGAAAAAACTTGCACAGGGGGACAATGATAACAGTATTTGTTTTAAGTTGTATGTGGATAGACATATTATACATGATAGAGCAGGAAATTCCATTAACAAGAAATGAAAGGAATAAAGGGGTGAATGATATGAAGTGCAACAAAATGGAACTTGTACAGTGTAGTATAGAGATGGTGTGATTATGAATGATAGATGTTGCTACTGGGATTGAAAAGAGGAAAATGATAGATTGGTTTACATTAAAACACTGACCATGGAGGTAACAGTAAAAAGAAAAAGTAAAGAGGCAGATTATCTGACATAAAGGGGGAGCTTAGGGATACTGTCAGTTTGGATTATATTCAGCCTTGTAGGTGATAGTTAGGACTGAAGGGTCATACCATTTGTGACATTGAAAAATTTGAATTAATAAAATTTTCATCTGTGTGCAGGTTATTGGAACATTTGAGGGGGTATCTAGCACTGTGCGGTCCACTCTGACAGAGGCCTTGGTGCAACTGCTGACACCTAAACGTCGTCTGGATATTCTCCGTGATGTGGTTGAAGCCAAATCCTCCACCCGCCCATATACCATGGCATTTTGTGGTGTAAATGGTGTTGGAAAATCAACTAACTTGGCAAAGGTATTATGTTTGTATCCTTATATCAACATATTTTTAATACTGTTACATAGTTTAATACTAACTAACATCTTGTTGAATACTTTTAGATTATATACAGGTAGTTTAATGTTGCTGACAATGAAATATGATTTGTTTTTAGTTATATTATAAAAGAGTTGGGAGTGAGGAATTAAGGAGAGTAAATAGTAATGATTCATATTTGAGAGCATTATTAATTTAAGGGAAATAATGTTGAATTGGGTAATGGATGAAATTTACGAAAGATAGCCGACAGCTTCAAGTTTACAGTAAATATTACAATCAAGAGAGGTGTAATTAATGATGATCGATAAAAAGCAGCCATCTTGCTTTAGCACACAAGCTGATGAGAAAAATGGGCAGTTGGTATTTTAGTTAATATTGAATGATATTACACAGACGAGTTCTTAACAATTTGTCCTTCACAGATTACGTTCTGGCTCATTGAAAATAATTTCCGCGTGCTGATAGCTGCTTGTGACACATTCCGAGCAGGAGCTGTGGAGCAGTTACGCACCCACATGCATCACTTGAATGCTCTTCATCCACCAGAGAAGCATGGTGGACTCACTATGGTGGAACTGTTTGAACAGGTAAAATATGTTGGATGCCCAAAGACATTTTAGGATTATAATAATTGGGTATCATGGGCTTTTAAATTAGCGAGGTGGAAGTTCTCATTACAAAGTCTTGAAAGAATAAAGTACAGTACAGTAATGTGGCTGTGTTTACAAAAGTATATGAAGATGCTTCTTTAACTGTTGGACCTCTATGCCTTGTGTAGACAGTGAGCCTAAGGATTATAAATTTTTATACTGTTTATTATTTCACATGTAAAATTGATAATGGTGAATATATATATTGTGTATGGCACAGTACATACCTCAAAGAATTCCATTTTTTCCTGTAACGTCGTACTTTTACATCGGCGAATCATTGCTTGTAAGTGTGGTGTTAATTTATTTGTGTGTAATTAAACTGACCTGTTTAACCAGCACCTTATTGTACAGTTCTCTGATTTTAATTATATCAAGAAGTTGTGTTAGCATGTGGCAAATGGATCTTGTTGTTTCAGGGATATGGTAAAGACGCAGCTGAAATTGCTCGACATGCCATTGAGTACTCTCGTAAAAACAACTTTGATGTTGTACTTATTGATACTGCTGGTCGTATGCAGGACAATGAGCCCCTTATGAGGGCACTTGCCAAGGTAAGATTTTATAATCAGGTGTACTATAGGCTTAAGGATTGGGGATTCCATTGTGAGATCTTCAATAATTGTGATGCACTGTACTGTGTATTAAGGAGAGAGGAGGGAGTCAAGGAATGCATATTGGAGAGAGCTAAGAACTTTAATGTGACATGATGTGAATAGCTGGACAGGAAAAACTAGAGAATTTGATAGATTTTTAATAATAGCAGGATGTGTTCATTGTGAAAGTACAGTATATATGGATTATATGCTGTAAAAATTTAGATTCTTTCTGTCCAGTACAAAGATACCAGTAATTATACATGGCAGAGAAGATGGAGTGATCTGGAATGTGACAGAAGCTCAGGTGATGAGGTCCTCTCTCTGGTTCCTGTATGAATGTAAAGTTCATAGCTGTCATATTCTCTAAGAATAAAAAATAGCAGTCATAGAAATGGATAACTTAAGGAGTAAAATAAGACCCCCCCCCAAAAAAATTTGATAATATAATTGTTGAAGTGTCAGAGATTAGGCAGTGTTCAAAACAAGATCCTATGTTGAGAAGCACATACACTATACAGTACAGTATTGAGATTATGAAAAAATTTAAAAGATAAATTCTATGTGTGTAGTATTATGAGAAATATATTGTTACATTTTAGATATTGATGTTTGTGTCATAATTATTTAATTTTTTAGCTGATCATGGTAAATGAACCAGACCTGACTCTTTTTGTGGGTGAGGCTCTTGTTGGTAATGAGGCCGTGGATCAGCTGGTGAAGTTCAATCGTGCTTTAGCTGACCACTCCAGCACAAATACACCTCAGGTCATTGATGGCATTCTCTTGACCAAGTTTGACACCATTGATGACAAGGTAATACAAATTATGTTTTAAATGTAACCTACTGTTTTTATCTTTTGAGGTTTAGACAAATAACAAATGCTTGATTGTCTCATTCAGTTTGAGTAGCCAGTACAGTACATAGTTAGTGTGAATCAACTGTTGTTTACAGATGAACAGCTTGGAAGTTACAAATTTTAGTGAAGGAGTTTGGGTCAGTGTGTACTCCGAGAATGTTAAAAGTAAATTTGAAAAAATAAATAGTGTGATGAAAATGAATAAGAAAGATAAATACAAATTTCAGCATGATTGGAGATAGAATTTAGGAAGTGAGGGGGTGTCAGATATCTTGGAATGGATATTTCAGAAAGTAGAACAATGGGTGGTGAACTGATCATAAGGTAACATGGGGAGAGAAAGTATAGGTGCATTAAAATATGTATGAAGAGAGAGAACTGCATCAAAGGGAACAAATTTAGAAATGTACAGAGGAATAATTGAGCTTATATAAATAATAAGTTGTAAAACTTGGACTCTGGATGCAAGATTAATAAACAAATTCAAAATGGCAGAAATGTCATGCTTGAGAGCAATGTCTTTGGTGAGCAGGATACAGAGAAGAAATATAGGAATTATATAGAAATGTGGAAATGAAAGAAGTGTTAGACAGAGAACTGATCTGGGTTTGGTAAGGTGGTATGGACATATTGAGAGCATAGTTAAGTGAAGGATGGAAGGATTGGGTTAAGGGAAACACTAGAGATGATGGGGATGGACATTAGGAGAGCATGACAAGTGGCTTATTGGGCTGTCACAGTAGCTAGAGTGAATGGATAAAGGCAAGTGAAAGGAGAATATGTGTTTGCTAGTGCATTTGGCTACCCTGCAGCATGGTGGGTACTTGTTTCCAAAAGAAACAGATGAATCATTGAGCCTATCTTAATCTGAGTGCTATGGTCAACTTTAAGGATTTTGCTATAGCTAATTCCTAAGGATTTTATTCTGGCTAACAACAGACTATTTTATGCAGCTGAGGGAACCCTTAGCAATCAGGGTTAATATTTAATATACTGGAGCTAATAATTTTTCAATTCATGGCAAAGGGATAAAGGACTCTCACACACACACACACACACACACACACATATATATATATATATATATATATATATATATATATATATATATATATATATATATATATATATATATATATATATATATATATATATATATATATATATATATACACTGTATATAAAATTTATTATTATTTTTTTTTTCAACCCAGAATGCAAGAACAAAACAATACTCGGCTCTTGTGGTCCAGTATACTGTAGTACTCTGTATATTTTGATGGTGCATCTAGAAGCTCCCATTGTTTAGCTCATTGTTTTTGGAGAGACAGTTTAGCTTGTCACTGACCTGACTTTGTTGTCTGGGTATTTTTGTTTTTTATGACCAACTTTAACCAATGAGAGTTTACATCCATTCATGATGCATTTATTGTTAAAATTATAGGGCATATTATTAGAGTGTGACAGTTTAGTAATACTGTATGTTATTATTATTATCATTATTATTATTTTTTAGGTTGGAGCTGCTATCTCAATGACATACATCACTGGTCAACCAATTGTGTTTGTTGGCACAGGCCAGACTTACACAGATCTCCGCAATTTGGATGCTAAGGCAGTGGTCCATGCACTCATGAAGTGAGCTTCAAGGAATCGCAGGCTGTGAGGGGTAGGAATATAGGGGTGGGTAACTCATGTTAGTATGTCATATATCATAAGCATTTATAATCTGTGGAAATCTAAAGCTAAAATAAGAAAAGTTTTGGAGCAGTAGAGAGCAGTTGTTTTTGCATTTATTATTGCGGTAATTTGTCTCATTCATTAAAATCAATAGAATTTCATAAGTGTAAAACATTTGGAAGTCAATATCAACAGGTGTAAAACTTTTGCATTTATCTTACACATGTACAGTATGTTGGACAAGTGAAAATTTCAGGTAACTGTATCACCTTTTATATCAGTACAGGTATAGTCAAAAGGTAAATACAATGATATAATGAACCCATTAACTGAAACCAAAGTACTGTACATGCATTGAGAGGTTTGGAAAAGGATACAGTACTTAAAATACTACAGTGCAACCTCGAAAATTTGAATTGCATGGGCCCATGTAGTATGCGAATTAAAACAAAATCGAATTTTAGATGTATAGAAGCACCAGAGTAAATTGTTGTGTCAAAACATGCTACAAAAAATTATTTACATATCTAAAAACTGTCAATAAGCAATAGTTATAATAAATTAAAAGTATTACTGTATTTATATTCAACAACATTTATTCTAATATACAGTATTTAGAACATTATAGCTACAGTGGTCTCCATGTAATCCTGCCAGTCTCCAGTACACCGCCACGAGACACGGAAGGGTAAACAGTGCGTGACCTAGCATGTCTTGGAACCCGGATGCGCTTGCTGTGCTCAGCATTATGATCGCATTTGAAAGCTTGAATTATTATGGCGATATTTTCAAATTCGAAACCTAAAATTTTGGCACGTATTTTTAATCAGATGCTATTCGAATTTTAGATGTATCCGAATTTTTAGGTTCAAATTTTAGAGGTTTTACTGTATACTGTAGTGAGAAATTAAATGCGTGAATATGGAGAGGATCATTATGCTTCATGAGACAGCAAATTGTAAATAAATTTGATTTGCATACAGTGCAGTATGTGAAAAAACATAACAAGAATGAACATAACTGCTTCATTGGTTCATACAAAATGAAACAACCTCACTTTACTGTTTCATTACATTTTCTGCAATTTTTAATCATAGCTTTGATTTATATATTCAAGAAAATATATATGAATTTTTGCCAGTTGAATGTATTTCCCAAACACATAGGAATAACTTTATTGAGGTGTTACCAAGATGTGCACTGTATGGTTTACTAACACTTGGGGAGCCTGAATTATTTTTACAGAAGTGAGCATGATGTGGAGGGCATAATTTTTAGGTAACCCTTGGGATGGTAGTGATTAGAAATGAAAACATTTTACCATTTTACTGGAAATTAGTTTCATACTTTTGCCCTCATAAAGGTTTATGTTTTTGGATTTAGCAAAGATTAAAATCAAACTGACTGGTGTTACTAGCCAGGGATTTAGTGCTGTACTGTGTGACATGTATGTTCTTTCCTGTTATTTTGTCAAGTTCTTTTTTTTTTTATGTGTGTTTGGAGGCTACCTGAAAATGCTCTCTACTGGTGAACCCATAAAATGGAACACAAATTTTTCACTGCGGCTTCCTAGTTTGTCTGTCTGCCTATATGGGGCATAAAAATTAACCTCCATACTAAAGGTTTTATATGTTGGCTCAATGTGCCACCTGTAGCAAGTTTTTGTTAAATTGACCGATAATTAGTTTGAAATCTTAAACTCATTCACATGTATATGCTTTGCTAGGTCTGTGTTATTGTCAGGCGAGTGAGATATACACAAAGTAATCTCAATTATTTTGGTCAGTGTTAGCTGGAATAGTGTTTTTATATGGCAGGTTATCTCCAGACTATCATTAATTTTTATGTTAAGTGTCAATATTCACATTTATCTGGCTTAAAAATTTAATGAGATTTATATGAGTTTGGAAGTGATGTTACTTGATCTACCCGACTGTAGCAGAAGCTTTATGGTAGTAAGGAGATGTGAGTTTTTATAATAAAAGCTTTGCACAAAAAGACCAGGAAACATAAAAAAAATATCTAAATGATTTCTTCTTACAGCTGATACATTACAATTTGAAGAATGACAAAAGGGTAAAGTTAAAAATTTTAACTGTGGCACTCAGGAGTCAAAAGGTAAGTAATATAAATGGGTAAATGTATAGTCACAAGTGTTCATGCTGCTACTTCATGGAATCAGTCTTGAGTATATTGTATATACTGTATAATGCTTCCATGCCTAATCTTTAAAATTACAACATGTAACACTTCCCCTCCCCCCACAAGGAATAGGCCCCCTGGTAGGCTAGTTGTCTGTCAGTTTGGTATAGGGTCACACAGGTCAAGATTTTCTACCTTACTGTTTGACCATAACTTGCATGGGAATCTGCTAGGTCAACCCTGGCATCAGGCACGGGCCAGTAGAGCAGCATGCTGAAACACTAACCACTACAGCACTGAGGCTATAAAATCACAACATAATGAATTGAAAGCAAGATATGATTTTAAATGGACTAGTCAGTGATGAATTTCCTTGTGGAAGCCATTTTGTCTTAAGTTACAATGTTCTTGTGATGGGTAAGAATTGTACATCCTGAATGGTGATAACTTAGTAAATACTGTACAGTACTTGTAAACTTTGATATTTTAGAAATGTTGAATATTTATTTATGAAATTGAAGTACAATTAATAATTGTATGCATAAAATAATGATGTTTGGTAAAAATGTTGTTAAAACTCCAATAGAAACTTTACATTACTTAATACTGTATTCTTCACTTAATTTAATATATTTTGAAATTTCTTTTCACATAAGTCAAATAATTTAAAGGTAGGGGTATGATATTTAAGGAGATAAATGTTGAACTTACACGTGTGACATGAGAAATATTTCATTCTTTTTATACAGCTCAAAATTAGAACATACTATACAGTACACTCTGATAAAAAGAAATGTTTGGTTGTCAGCGACATATTCTTTTGATTGTTCAGCATAGAACTTTTGAAAGTACTGTACTTGATCTGAGGCCATTTATCATGTGTGAATTTTAAGTACCTATGTTTATTCTGTAGTCTTGTCAGATCAGTGTTACATTTTTATTTTTGGACAGTTAGGATAGATGTTGATTTTCATTGCAGTAGTTATATAAATTAATTGGATACAGTGATTCTCTCATGAGCTTTATTATATTCAGATATGAACAGATATAAATTTTGGATTTATATATATATATATTATCCACATGGGATATAATAAAAGTACATTACCAAAATTTCTGTACCTTGTCATTATCCTCTACAACATTTCCAAAAACCTGATGGGAAGTCTTAATAAATACAGATAGTACTACAACCAACTTTCTCTAACTACCTCAGTTGCTCCGTCTTACACAAACTTCCTTTTCTTCCTTACAAAACTTCCCCATTGAGTTGTCTCACAATCACTTCCTCATTCTCTCCATGTTTGCAAAAATCACTGTATTCTATTATTTCCTTGCCCTGTTATTTTATTATACAGTACAGTGGTCCCTCGATTAACGAGCACAATTGGTTCCACAGACTCGGTCGTTAACTGAATCTACATGCGAACTAAACTTTAATATAAAAAATGCAAAAAATATTAAAGAGCACTACTTTCTCGATATTTACTACACTGAAAACGATTGTAAACATAGAACCAATTACTGTACTGTATTGGCGGACTAGTCAATCAGCTGTTGCGCGTACCAAAGCGTGTTTCTCGTAAGGCTGTTGTTAATAGAAGTTGTACTCGTTGATTGAACTGAAAATCCTTATGGGAGTTAATTTGTTAACCGAAATCTCATAAATTGAACCTCTCGTTAATCGAGGAACCACTGTATTTCAAAAAACTTACATTATAGCTGTTCAGTATTTTGACCAACGCTCCTTAATTACTGTACTGTCTGTGCTGAAGAGATCTGTACTGAAACTTAGATCAAAATAAAAATAATTGTGTACTTAAGCAACATAATGTATATGTATCATAAATTTATTGACAACTAAAGAGAACTGGTCATGAAATTCAAAATCACAGTTAACTCTTTCAGTATGGGATGCCACTTTTAATATTTTATTTGGTTAATGCCAGATGATTTTATTCAGCACAGGGAAACCCCTCATACCCAAGGGGTTAATCAGCTTAATTCTAATAAATGAGTGCTATAAGAGGGAGTGTCCAAAGCTTACATAGGATGCAAACAATTGTAGATGAAAACTTATATATCTTTAAAATTCAGATCTTTAGTCTGTTTGTTGATGAGCAACTACTGTATATGGGGTAATAGTGGAGGAACAGGTCATCACCAGACGGAGTTTATAGATTTGTCTAATTTTTTTCCAGATATGTTGTTTGGATGGTCACTCTGAATACTGTCCACATGTCTGAGGGTTGTCGATCACAGTCCTCCACTCTAAACGTTTCCTGGATGTTTTTACCAATCCTCTAAGGCAGTGATTTTCAACCCTTTTCATCTCACGGCACAGTGAGCCAGGCACTAAAATGGTCGAGGCACACCATCAGTATTTAAGGATAGATTTGATCATTTAAAAGAAAATGAATGATAAGAATGTGTTCATATTTAAAAAAAACTAATAATTTCTTAATTTTATTGCCAAAAGTATATTGTTGATCATGGTTTTCAATATAATTTGAAAGTTTTGTGCATATTTGTTATTACTACACATTGAAACAATATGTCATTGAAAAAGATGCCATTCATTAAAAAATAATATGAAACTTTCAGATATAGATTGTATTCAAATACAAACATGAGTAAAAATAAAAGGCCTTTGCTTACATAAAAATATCAGTGGGAAACCTGTGCTGGTGTTGTCTCATGATGTTCCTTGTCCGAGGTCGACAGGCAGACCCTCAAGTCCTCCTCCAGTGTTTGAAGCTGTGACCTGTTCTTGCTCTTCATTGTGTTCATGGCAGAGAAGCCAGCTTCACACAGGTACGATGTTGAGAAAGGAAGAAGTGCTTCAATTGCCTTCTTTGTAATGATGGGGTATTCCTCTCGAAGGGACAACCAGAATGAAGTCATATCTGTTGATAGGTGCTTCAGTTTCAGTCCTCTGTTGTTTCTGATTTCCGTCGGCTCATCCTCTTCGGCAACAGTTAATCCTGCCGACTCGCACGCACTTACCACAAACGGATCTCTCGCCCAGTCCAAGGAAGATACATCAAGTGATGGGAAATACTTTTCAATGTTTTTACTCAGTAGCGACAAACTGTTTAAACTCCCGCGGCACACCTACGGATGCCTCGCGGCACACTAATGTGCCGTTGCACATTGGTTGAAAATCGCTGCTCTAAGGTTTTGTATCTTTCTGGGAACCCAGTTTTTAATTTCATTCATCCATCCCAGTCTGCCTCTCCCTGGCCCTCCTACCATCAATGTTGCCCATTAACCCTCTTGTGGTCTTTCGATGCAAATTGCCTCGCAAAGAACTCCTGTGCTGGTGCAACCCCTCCTACTCAGCCCTATCTCACAATGTGAGCACCCCTCATGTCAGCAGAAATACAGGAATAATGGACCAAGCGGCCCTATCAACTACACTACCCTTGTGGGCTGGTTCTATTTGGGTCTGGATTGCTTTACCCAATGTTTACTGAAATGGTAAAACCGTTCCTGGTACCGACGCAACCTGCATCAAAAGATTGCTAAGAGGTGAGATTTCCTACCTTGGCCAGGAGTACCAGAGGCTTAATATTTCTGCCTTTATCCCCTCTTCCCTAATTATGTGACCAAAGTGTCTCATTTATATTTTTATTTACTGTACATCTCAAGTATTTCTCTTGATATTTTTGCTAACCTGAGTATTTCTTCATTTGTTTTCCTGTCACTGTATCTTATTCTTAATGTACATCTATAACACCACATTTGAAAGACCTGTTTCTGGTATCTGCTGAAAGTGTCCATGCTTCTAATCCATATACATTGTCTGACATTTAAGTTCACGAACTCATGCTACAGGCGCCGATACACACCTTACTGTTGATCGGCGCTGTGGTCCCCTTCAAAGTACATTACTGTATTCCCTTTGCGATGCAATACTCGAACGACAGCATTTCTTCCACCCCTAGAAACATTTCTGGAACTCACTTTCTGAATAGCTTTTATAGCTACTCTGCATGTCATCCACTTCTTGAAAATGCGTCCCTTTAATGTGTTTCTTCAGCCAAGGAAATAGAAAAAGTCACAGGGGGGCCAGGTCAGGTGAATGAGGGTGTTCCAGTAAGGTAATTTGTTTCACGTCCCAAAACTCCCACACAGTCAATGCTGTGTGCGCTGGAGCATTATCATTGTGCAAGATCCACTTGTTTCCGGCGAAAAGTTCTGGGCGTTTTCGTCTAAATTTTTCTACGAGTCTTTTAAGCATGTTGAAATAGTAAAACTGGTGGTTCTCTTCCTGTCCTGGGGGAACATATTCTTTGTGAACTACCCCCTTAGAATCGAAAAAAGCGATGAATATTGTCTTCACTTTTGACTTTGACATGCAACACTTTTGGGGGAATGGCGAGTTTGCAGTTTTCCATTGAGCGCTCTGGCATTTCGTTTCAGGGTTGTATTGATAGACCAGTAATGACATGGTAAAGCATGTCATTACTGTTCATCACTGATCCCACTTCTTTCCGAAACGAAATTGTCACATTTGGCGGGAATAGTTGATATCCCGGTGGTGAGGATGGGTCGAGAAGAGGACTTGGGGCCAACATTGGCTGGGGCAGCATCCTTTTTCTCAACTTGGTGTTAATATCCCTTTTTATTAGGTCCTTTAGAGAGAGAGAGAGAGAGACAGAATACGTGTATGAAGATACAGCAGCATTTAAATCCAAAAAATGGAAAAAGGGCTTAATGTGTTTCTTTAAATAAAAATATTTAATTTACTATACTGCGTTTTAAAGTCAATATTCAATTTATTTAAGTTTCCCATAAAAGTCGTTTTCTTTAAAAGTTAATATAAATAGTTTATTATATTGCCGCCAGATGTCAGTGTAAGCGTCACAATGACTCATCAGTATATGACCTCAAGTTTCCCTTCTTGTTGGAGGCGTTGGAGGTAAACAAACACCTGTCATACATCCAACCATTAAGGACCTTAACTACATACAGTATAGTGAGGAAGGCGGAGCTGTGAAGGAAGAGTCATGAGTGTGGTGCAGGCGGTGAAGAACTACGTGAGTAAGATGATCACGGAGAGTGAGCCGGGCTACAAGATCATGCTCATGGATAAAGAAACTGTGAGTATTGACACCACCTGAACTGTTCCTCTATGTCTCCCTTTTATTAACCTGTTTTTTAATTAAGATAAAGGTGGTGGAGATGTTTATTACCAGATGGAATAGTAATAGTGAAGTAGATGGTTTATAGGTCAATTTAGGACAGTAGCCAGGTTTCGGTTAGGTAAGGTTAGGTTAGGTTAGGTTAGGTAAGGTAGGTTTGCTTTGCTCATTCTGGTGTTACTGAAGGAACTTAAGAAATTGCACCAAAATTTCTGGAGATGTCATTCCCATGATACCACATGAGAAAATGAAAACGAAAATTCACAAAACCTAGAAAATTAACCTACCTAACCAACTTAACCTACCTAACCAACTTAACCTACCTAACCAACTTAACCTACCTAACCAACTTAACCTACCTAACCAACTTAACCTACCTAACCAACTTAACCTACCTAACCAACTTAACCTACCTAACCAACTTAACCTACCTAACCAACTTAACCTACCTAACCAACTTAACCTGACCTAACTTTCTAACTGAGGGCTCTGCCAACCTGACCCCCCATGCCATAGGAAAGTTGTTTAGCCATATTAACAACAAAATAAACTTATCTTAATATTAAGGTGGGTCGAGTGCAGTGAGGGCATCCAACCATTATTCTTAGCAAGTATTTTTCCTCTATCAGTTCCCTGCCACATTTATCACATCCTTATAACAAGTCCATGATAATGGTCTTGATCCTCAACAAGCACAGATAACTTGTGATGGTAATGTTTGAGAACACCTCTACCACCACGAGAAGTTGTTTGATTTTGTTATTTTTTCTATGGATGTTATCATTTTATGTAGTAAGTATTTAAAATGAGGCGACATTAACTAGAACATAATAGAACCTGCCCTAACTAACCAAAGAAACCTACTTAACCTTATCTAACTTCTTAGCCTGGGAGCAGAGCCCCCTGGTCCCCCTGCCATATTAAACAGAAAGTACTGTACAGTACATGTCTAACCTAGCCTTACCAGAAGACCTGACCTAACCTCTTATACACGGGGACTACACCCCCTTTGACCCCTAGTGCAAACCTAACCTAACCCAACAAGAGAAAAAAATGATTAAAAAAAAGGGAAAATATAAATTTCCAATGAAAACATGAGTAAGCACATGCACACAAATATCACATTACGGTGACACTTGTGTTCTCATAAGTGAAAATAAAAAGAAAAAGCAACTCAAAAACTACAAATTTCCGACAAATGCTATACAGCAATTTGTTTTCTTCTTCTTCTATTTCCCCATATAAGAATCAATATAAAGTTCCCTGCATGGTCACTATGGCATATTAACCATGAGTGACTAACAGCCAGAAAACCCCAGGGTGTTAAGCCAAACTGAAGTATTAATTCATCTAAGAATTTCTAACTTCTGATCCCTAATAATAATGAAAACACTGAAGTGCAGTATAGTCTGCATTTACGCGGTCAATTGAACCTGTGGAGTACCGCGTAAAACGAGAAACGCATAAATGAAATAACAGAACATATGGGATTAATTGAAATAGAGACTGGGCCGACCCCTAAACTCCACTTTTTCCGACAATACGTACGTTGTAGTGAAAATAACATCTTAATTTTATGAAAGATAGTTAACAGTAGAATAATATTACTGTACATTACTATAAGAATTAAACCCCTTTTAATCTATTCTCTTAGTCTGAGTGCTCTTTGTGCTACTACAGTACTAAGAATTTCAGCTGTTCATTGGAAGTTGTTGCAACTAATAATTTGACCTTTATTTCCAACATCTCTTCTGTTTATTTAATATAGAATTATATGAGTACTGTATATTTTTTATCTTTTCAAAATCTTGACTGTTTTCAGACGTCCTTTGTGAGTGTGGTTCTTGGCATGAGTGAGGTGATGCGTCAGGAAGTGTACATGTTCGAGCGCCTTGACCAAACTAGCTCGGGAGAAAATATGTCTTATCTCAAGTGCCTGGTGTATGTCAGACCCACTAAAGAAAACATTGATCTGCTTGCACGAGAACTTCAAAAGCCTAGATATGGAACCTATTATATATGTAAGCTTTGTTTACGTTTTGTCTATCGTAGAAAGTGGTACAGTATTTCTTCTAAGCTGTTGATACATTTATATATTAATCCTCCCAGTTGGTAATGGCTTACACCTGTGTACCATTGAAGTTTTATACAGGTACTGTTCTGTAACTCATTGCTCTCTTACTGAAACTGTGGAGTCTCAGTTCATAATATACTGTTCAGGTTTGATCCAGGTGATGACATTGTCTATGGTGCCAGTAGTATATTTTTTCTGCTGTATATTATTAATAAAAGATTGTGAATATTTGGTCAGTCAGCATTATGTACTTATTATGTAATGTTTCTTTATAGTAATCTTTGGATAATTTGTTATGTAAAAAACTTTAATGCCTTGGCTGTCCTTATTTTATCTATGACAAAAATGGTCATCCAATACAATGATGTTTAAATTTTTTGCCTCTTTACTCAATAAGAACTTCTTCTGGATAACTTCTGAAACAATATGATACTGTATTCCAGTCTGTTAAGGTAGCCTAGTGTAGACTCACCAACCCTTTGTCCCCAGGCAGTCAGAAATTGTATTCCCTCACACCTTTTACAAGTACCTTTGTTCTGGAACACCTGTACAGTTGTTCAGTGTTGGCCACTGTGAGGACATGTTACAGTCTTCTCTTTACATTTTGTTCCATATCTTAGGTATAATGTTAAGATGTGATCTTATTGATCTTTGGCCTCCAGCAAGCAATGTCCTCCATACCAGTGTATCAAACTACTGTATGCTCAAATAGAAAACTCAGTAAATTAGATGAATTTATCTCTTTTCTTTTATTGTATTAAATGTAAATTGTGTGCTTTTTCTTGACCACCAGATTTCAGTAATGTTGTAAGTAAGAGCGATGTGAAACTTTTAGCGGAAGCAGATGAACACGAGGTGGTACGGGAGGTGCAAGAGCTATACGCTGACTACCAGGCACTGTCCCCACATCTCTTCTCACTCCACATGCCCATACACTGTCTGGGTGAGTTATGAGTACTATTGGCATGTTAATGGATACCTAAACAAAACTACAATATAAAAGAAATATACTTTATTGTTTAGAGTATGGTACTGTATTGGGTGTGATAGGAGCAGAACACACAGTGGACCAATGCAGTGTAAGCTACAGAGAGCTGGTTTCCATATTTAGGTAGAATGATCTTCCTTAGTAATTAACTTAAGAAAAACTGTTTTAGCCTCTATCATGGAAGGCATTCCTCATATTCAGAATGCATCAGAAGGCAACTTTATGAGCACTGCAGTCTTAAAGTTTATGGAGAGAACATGTCTTTGGACCCTTGAGTGTGATAACCTTCATCAGTGGTAGCAATTCTTTTTTTGTGTTCTAATCATCAATTCATCTGTTGTACAGTATTTATAATTTCCTTACTGCACAAGTACTGTATACGTATATATTGTATATGCAGATAGTGTACAGTACATATCTTTATTTTATTTTTATTTTTAGGCTTGAAATGGGGTGGAGGAGCTTTGCAACGTACAGTTCAAGGTCTGGCAGCTGTTTTATTCGGCTTACAGTTATTACCGTCCATTCGCTACCAGAACAACTCTGAAATGGCAAGGACTCTTGCAGAGAATATTCGGGTAAAGTTATTTCTAAGCGTTTATCAGCATTAGATGACCTAATTGCCTAATTTATATGGCACTGGTTAATGTCATAAAATTTCTAGATTTTAACCTTAGACAGTCATGTTTTACATAAATTTTTAAACATCATTACTGTGTTATCATCATCCTTGGTTAACTGTAATTTTCCACACATGTGAGGGTTAGCTGCGATTACTTGATGGCAGCTCTCCTTGCTGCACAATTTCTTGCAGCCTCTCTTATCAGGTTCTTAGCTGATGTCATTTCTTACAACCTCTTCCCTTCTCATTCTGGACCGGCCCTTGCCTCTCCTCCCTTCCATATTTAGACTTCACATCTCTTAACCCAATTGGTCTTGTCCACTCACTATGTTTTGAACTGTTGAAAATGCTGTATATAACCAAACTTAACATGGTATAGATCAGGCATGGGGCTGAAGCTGGCTTTGGTTTCTGTTTGCCATGCTTTTTAGACTTGGCTTCAGCTTTGAAACTTTCCAAAGGCTTTGGCTTGGAAGCCAGAGGCATAGCACTAGCTTCAACTTCAAAGCCACAGGTGTGGCTTCGGATTTTCATCTTTACACAGACACACTGACCATATTACATAATTGTATTTAGATCATATTAAATAAATATTTCAAATTAGTGGCGGATCCAAGGCGGCACAATTTTAATCTGACTTAACAAGTGACTTGGGTTGTCGTGTTGGCACCAAACCTACTGACCAGCATATCAATGATTAGTGCCAATACGAAAACATATTTTCACAGGTAAACAGGTCAGAATCTCCTCACCAGCCCCCAGGTAGTGCCATGGAGGGTAAACTTTAGGTAAGGTCAGGTCAAATGTGAGTTGGCCATGTGACCTTGATCTGACCTTGCATGAACTGAGATCCACACTGACATCACAAGTTATCCCTACAGGTCTATTCTCACAAGGACCTGACCTAAATGTCGGTAGAGATCAAAGATATGTTTGAAGTCATAAGATAATTTGTTCCAATGTTTCTCTGTGATTTGTGACTAAATTACTATGTTTATGTATTATGGGCATAATAAATTTAGTAAGATAGATAAATTGTTACTATAAGTTACCTTTTTCAGCCTATATGGAGAGTCAAAACTTATCCCAAGAACAATCAGCATAAAGTAAAGTCATCTTTTCTCAGAGCCTTGCTGTAACTTAGAATACCATACATATTCCCATCAATATAAGGTAATATAGTATATTATAACTATAAATAATGGTGCTAAGGTTTCACGAAGCCTTGAAAAGCCTTGGCTTCAGCTTCGGCTTCATAACTTTTTTAATGTCTGGCTTCAGAGTTATGACTTTTAATGTTTGGCTTTGGCTTTGTAACATTCCAATGGCTTCGGCTTCGAAGCCAGAGGCTTGGCTTCGTCCCTATGCCTGGTATAGATATGTACCATCACTAAACAATGTTTGCATATAAAGAATATATCACAGCATCCCTGGTCAAGGTGATAGATATTATAAGAGCCCCATTATTGTGTACATTCCCTATTTTTGCACTTGATGCTCTTTCAAGTACAATACTGATTTATTTTGATAAATGTATCATGTGCCACTGATGGTGCTCTTATTTCATGGGGGCAGCAGGTGGTGAATATCTTACTCCTATAATATATCCCAAAAGGGCAACATTGTTTGGCTGATTTTTTCAAGAATTGGATCATTAACTGTGTGAAGATGATTACTGTAGGAACTGTAGTACAGAACTGTAATATTAAGGGAAGATTTCTCATTTGAATGTAAAAGCCTACAATAGGGATAGTAGAATAAATAGAAAGATAAGTTGTAACAGGTAGCCTCAACTGCTTTTCTAGGCCCCTCACCATTATTGTAACAATTGAAAATTCCATCATTGTGTTGCCTTTTCAGCAAACCATCCTGACAGAGAGTTCCCTGTACAATAGCACTGAAGCAGAAGGCAACACTCTGCTTCTCATCCTTGATCGCAGAGATGATCCTGTCACACCTCTCCTCCAGCAGGTAAAGTGTACTGAATGTCTAGCTAAGAGGTTAACCATATATAATCCCCATACATTTTAGCCACTGATTATTTGTTGAACTCTCCTGTAGATTAGATGGTCCAACTTATTAGTGAAAGTCACCTCTTGTCTGCACTAAGAACAAGAATGTGTTGATTGGAAAAAGATATCGTCGTTAAACATACTCAAATGAGTTCTAGATGTGTAAACTAATATACATAGCAGCTGTTCTGGAACGTACAGTGTTCCTGCCCCAGTTGATTTCAAGGTTACTTACCAGAGAGGGGTCGAGAAAGTTTAGTTCACAGAGGATCCATGTTAAACTTCCTATACAGAACAGGAAGGCATAAATAGATTTTCATTGCTGAAATTTGGCCCTAGTTGCCTTGAGAGCCACAGGTGTTGTTATCCAGGTATCACTTTGATGTGTGTGATAAAATATTTGCATATTACATGAATATTAAAAAAATTTCAAGCTCTACAAATCCACAGCATCCATCACTAAACCTTATTAATATACTACAGTACATTTACTGTAGATATGACTTATTTTTATTGATTATAATTTTTTCTTATATTGTAGACATACTTTTCCAGATTTTTTTGGTGCATTGTCTTTTTATTGATATTGTATGGAGCATATGTACATGTGACTTGTATGATATATTTTCTTTATTGATGCAGTGGACATATGAAGCAATGGTACATGAACTGCTTGGTGTGAATAATGGTCGAGTGAGTCTGGCCCATGTGTCTGGTGTTGCTGATGACCTAAAGGAAGTGGTCATGTCACCTACACAGGATGAATTCTACTCCCGGGTGAGTACTGTACTGTACATTAACATTAAGTACTGTACCCCATTGTCTGATAAATAGTGGAAAAATATTGCCTAACAATGATACATCATTTGATGCCCAAACAGAAAATTAGTGTTATTTACCCAAAGAAAGAAACACTGTTTACCAGTCAAAAAACATTCTTATACACTATACAAGACTTAATTAGAATCTTCACCACTACTTGGTATATTCAGAATCTGTATCACTGCTAAATGAGATAGTCAGCCCTCAGTTCACATGGTGGTTAGTGGTTGTGTTAATGGTTTTAAATAGAAACCACATACTATACTGTACAAAAAATAAAGGTTCATATTAACCTGTTGGTGTATAAGATAAAAAACAATAAACACAAAATGCATATTAAAGGCCAATTGTATCCAGGTGGTAGGATCCTATGACGCTTGGCTCCAGAAAACATGAGTTTGATCATGAAGCTGAGGAGAGTTAGTGAGGTGTAATGCTCCTGTGGCAGTGTTGAACTGGCCACCAGAAATGACACAAGGGATAGATAGATAGACAAGTAGGTAGATAGGTGGACGAATATTTATTCATGAAAGTCATCATACAAATTTACATTGATTTTTCATGTTTATAGACAATGCAGGTATACAATATAAGTGTATACATTGACAGTCCAGATATATAAAACAATGTACTGTACCTGGATGTGAGCTTTTGTTTGGGCATTAAGATTTTGATTGATTTTTTACATCTAAATAAATTTCAGTTGTCTTCTATTAATGATCTTTCTAATGTATTTGTAGATTTTTGTAGTAGTTTATTTGATGAGCACAGTGTCTAATCACCCCTTTCTTTAATGTGTAGTAATAAGGTGTACATAATTACAGAGTATGTACTTGAATTATGGTGAAATTGGGCAAACAATCAAAGATTTGATGGAGGAGTACCAAAAGAGGCTTTCAAAACAACAGAAAGTGGAGTCCATCAGTGATATGAAGAATTTTGTGGAGAGTTACCCACAGTTTAAGGTGAGTACCTCCTAGAGAGTTACCCACAGTTTAAGGCGAGTACCTCCTGGAGAGTTACCTCCTGCTTCTGTATATTACATAACCTAGTCATATTTTTACCTAATGTTTAGCAACAATTTGCTGAAAGAAAAAATAATGTATTTTGTTGTTTAAACAATATTTTGTAATATCCAAACTATATACTGTATTATAATATCCACAGAAAATGTCTGGAACAGTGAGTAAACACGTGACGGTGGTAGGGGAGTTATCTCGTCTGGTGGGCACCCACGGCCTACTGGGTATTTCTGAGTGTCAGCAGGAACTGGTTTGTGGCTCTGACCACTCTACAAATCTTCAGGTAATCCAATTATTTTCTTACATAATACAATAGATATTAGATGAAGTTGCTAGTGTCTTGGATAGAATTATATACTACACAGCATGCAATGTGTGCATGGGTGTATGTGTTCAAGGAGAGAGCCCAGGCTTCCACTTTGGCCAACAATCAAGCCTGGAATCCTTCACTTGAAAGGTGAACACCGTATAATTATGCTGTAGAGTTGTAAGTATTACCAGAAATATGTTGGTAATACGCATGTAAGAAGGAATGAGGGGTTAGATTAGGTATTGTTAATATAGTTAGTATTTTTTATGGTCCTATGGCAGTCTCACACATACTAACAAACTCTGTAATTCTTTTAAATTATCTTTGTTCTCCCGTCGTATTGTTTTCTTTTTTAACCCTATTTATGCTTTCTTTTCTTGTCCTGTTTCCTTCTCCATTGCTAGTTGTATAATATTGTTCAAACATTCCTGCCGGCCATACCACATTGAAAACATCGCTTCTCGTTTGACCAGTAAAATTAATCAATATTGGGTCTGGTTAATGCCAGATGCTGTTGACATTTAAAGGACCATACTGGAAATAAGCTTGTGATGGCATTGCTGCCTATCCTTGGTGAAATTTGCCTAAGTATTAAGAACATAAGAAAATAAGGTTGATGTTGTGAAGGCTGTATACATTGACAGTATTTGTTCTTCCAATATTAAGTACGCTGCACTTGCTGGTGTTGAATTTCATTTGCCATTTTTCAGACCACCCCTGCAGTTTATTTAGATCCTCCTGTAATGCATTTGCATCCTGCCCTGAATTAATCTGCCGCCCTATTTTCGTGTCATCCGCAAACTTGCTTATGTCGCTGCTGATCCCAGTTTCTAGATCGTTTATGTAGATTATGAACAAGAGTGGGCCTAGTACTGACCCCTGGGGAACCCCACTGGTTACACAGCCCCACTCAGATTTAACACCATCTACGCTGACCCTCTGCGTTCTATCGGTGAGCCATGATTTTATCCAATTTAAAACTTTCCCCTCGATACCATGAGCCTTAATTTTTCTCAGAAGCCTCTGATGCGGTACTCTGTCAAATGCTTTGCTAAAGTCTAAGTAAATAACATCGTATTTACAGTGGGTTCTTGATAATTCTCGGTTTAGGCACCAGAAGACCGTGAATTTTTTTAATTTTGAATTAGTTTCATTGATTAGTTTGGTTCCAGAGGCCAAGAAATATCCATAAACTGTTCCAAAGACTGCTTTAATAAACTCTAAATATCATACATATTACCGGTACATAAAAAATATACAGTAACACAAAGATATTGTACAAAAAGTAGTCCTCATTATTTTGTGTGGTTTACTCCATTACTCCAACATGGAGACAGGCAGGCACCGAGCTGGCTATGACCACACTATGTTAAGAACCAGTAATTTAATACCACACAATAACTCATGTGGGATTGAGTAGGATTTTTTTTATTATTATTATTTACGATAATGTTTTATTAAATAGGCACCAAATGAATCTAAATAATGTGGGAATTATGGTGAAATTGCATAATGTTGTATTAAGGAGTTAGGAGGTGGAAGGGCGCCGAGCATTTGAGAACATGGGGGGGGGGGGGGGTGTATGATCAGCCCACCACCCAACTGCCCGACCTCTCATGAACAATTCACTTACGACTTTCTATTTTTCCTACTTTATAGTTTTGTTATTTTTTGTTCTAGGTTGCATTGGAGCATTGAAGTAATATTCACATTATATTTTCTTTAATTCCAAGACATTTTAGAGCAATGAAATGATGTCCAAAACTTTTATTGTTTCTTATGTAAACAAACACAGTGTCAGTCAGTGCCCAGTCGCGAATTATGAATATTATTTGACCGCAAAATTTAAAAAGGAGGTAGTAATACAGGTACCCGTGAAATTAAGAACACAAATTTGTATTTTATGAATTATCAAGACTCCACTGTATTATTATTACCCGGTAGTATTACTTGCTTACTTATACTGTATTTCTTTACTGTATTTAAAGTTTTGCAGCAAATGTTTCTTGTTGATCTTGAAATCTGTGACAATTAATTTGAAGTTTTTCTCAGAAGCTGAACTATTTTGGGAATATTGTGTATGTTACCTCCCCAAAGGTAGAGGGTACAAGCTGTAGAAAACATAATTGATTGAATAAAAAAATTGCAGTGCTTAATATACAACCAATCCCCATGAAATGTGAGTAGATGTAATCTGAGCAGTCCTGTTGTGCGAGAAGAATTATATTAATTACAGCTGATAACTATTACTGGATTGGAAATTGTGTTAATTTTGCTCGTTTGCACAGAGGATCTTCCAGTTAGTGACAGACCCAAGAGTTCGAGAGGTGGATGCTGTGATACTGGTGATGCTTTATGCTCTCCGACATGAATGTAATCCCAGTAATGATATGCGAGGGCTCGTTAGTGCCCTCAAGAAGAGGAACGTCACAGACCGCTACCTCAAGGTGAGATTAAGTAATAGTAAACTGTTGACAGGTTAGGAGCAACAAGTGCATAAATATACAGTATTAAAAAGACTCTAGATAATCAAAATCTCCCAGTGCACTATGAATTTTTTATTGCCGAGTCCTTCACCTAGTTGCTGACACTTAGACCTCTCCAATACACTTGAATTGCTTGTAAATGAAAGTTTGGTCTGGACATCTGATCTCTTGTTGTGCCAGCTTATATTTTGGAAATCCCACATATTGTTACCCAAGAGTTGTACAGCACTGCCAGCATGGTCTACAGTCTCGACCCAGAGTAATTTTGTCAGACAGGATTTTCTTTTCATGAAACTGTGTTGTGATGCATTGATAAGACTGTGTTTGGTCAGGTTGTTGGATGATTGCGTCCCTCAGAATTTTCTCAAAGATTTTTCATATAGATAAGGCTGATCAACCTGTAGTTTTCTCCTACCCTTCTAGTATACTAGGGTGACATTGGCTAATTTCGAGTCCCTAGGCACTTTACCTTGATCCAAAGATATCCTGAATAAGAGTCTTCAATCAATCAGGGTACTGTCCTCGTATCTGAGGGCTGGCGACTACATTCCTCAACTCTGAACATTCTTGGGCTGTTTTTGCCAATCCTTCAAGGTTATGTATCACTCTGGGGACCCAGATCTTTATTTCATTCATACATCCCAGTCTCAGCCTTCCCCTGGCCCTCCTACCCTCAACTTTGCCCATTAATATTTCTGTTATTATCCCATCATCTCTAATTATATTACCAAAGTATCTCATTTTTCTCTTTCTGTGCATTTCAAGTATTTCTCTTGAAGTTTTTGCCAATCTAAGTAGTTCTTCATTAGTTTTCCTGTTAGTGTAGCTTATTTATTAGTATTCGCCTATAACACCACATTTCAAAGGCCTCCATCCTCTTTCTAGTGTCTGCTGAAAGTGTCCATGCATCAGACCCATACAGTAGTCCTTGCCATATAAAGTCTTTCAACAGCCCTCTTCTCAAGTTGAAGTTAGTGTCTCTTTTCATTAAGGTCTTTTAGATTATGAAATGCATTTTTTTGCTTGCCCTATTCCTGTTTTGATTTCTTCCATACATTTATCATCACAGCTATTGTTACTTCCCAAATACTATACATTATTTTCCACTTATTTGAGTTCCCTATTATTGCCTACCATAGTCTTTATTTTAGGATTTATTTTCAATTTGGACCATATTTTTCAAATTTTTTCACTAATCTGTTAAAGAGTTTTTGTAATGCCCTTCATTATGTGTGATAAGGGCAGTATCATTTGCATATCGTATATTTGATATTACTTTACCATTAACTTTTAGTCCTTCATTATCACTTATAACTTAGTGGAGTGCTACCACCTTCTTTATCCACTCCTGGGGCTCTGAATTCTTTCAGGCTGGCTACTTTCCTTTGGATGATATCGTCTGTAATTGTCATATCTCTTAGTTCATTTCCTATCCCTGAGGTATACGTTCTCATAGGTACTGGCATCTTTATCCATTGTCTCGTGTGAATACTGATGCAAAGTATTCATTTAAGGTATCAGCTGTTTGTCTGTCATCCTCCAGTGCCACATTGTTTTTGTCCCTTCGAGGGCTAACCATATTTTGGGTTTTCAATTTCCTCCTGGCATGTGCATAAAAGGACTTGGGAACTGTTTAATATTTTGGCCCAGTTTCACATGGAAGTGCTAATTAGCTAATCTAATTTCCTGATTGGCCACATTTAGGGCTCTTTTGTATACTACTGTACATAATCTGCAGGATGCTCTGAGCTCTGATATTTCTTCTACATCTGGTATTTTCTTTTGCACCTTGTTTTACAGGGTATATACATTCCTCTACTGTTAACTCAAGGACTTTCATGATGTCTTGCCCGATTCCTCGATGGTCTGACTCCTCTTTAACAATTTCTTCCCAGTTAATTCTCTCTAATTTTTCCCTCATGAGCTGGCAATTACCAAGGTTGAAGTCATAGTATTTCTCCTCAACTATTATCTCACAATTTTCTAGGATTATATTTCAACTTAGTATGTAGTGGTTGCTGGTCGGAGTTAATTTTTCACCAATGTGGACCTCTTCAGTCCTCAAAACTAAATCTAGAATGTTGTCTCTCCTCATGGGTTCTGACATGTGTTGTGTAAGGAATGAATCTTGAATGAGATAAAGGAATTCTTCTCCTTCGGCTTGTGTGGTAAGATTCACTAAGTCTATTGTCTCTTGATTAAAACCTCCCATGATGAGGGCTTGAGTCTTGTGCTCTGGATGACTCTGTGAAGATCTGTGGTGTCACCATTTGAGTAAAGTTTTGGATAGGTTGTCATGTGTTTAATTTTTGTTTTAGGAATACAAACAGTATTACATATTGGTATGTTTCCTGAACTCTAATACATCTAAAGAAAGTTTATGAAACTTCATTTACTAGTACAGTACAGCAATTTGTTGTTAAATAGACTAGCTTTGCTGTTCGTGCTACTGTTATATCACTTGTACAGGACAGTACAGTATTACAATACCCTGTATTTGTTATTCCAGTCTAATTGGTCCTTTTCCACAGCTTTTGTCATCTTTGATGGACTTTGGAGGAGCAAAATCCCGCCAGAGTGACTTGTTTGGCACGCAGGTTCCGCAGAATGTATCCACAATCAGGAAACGTCTTTTTAAAGTTAGTACCATTATTGTGAAAAATATTTTATGAAGAATTCTAAGCTGAAGACATATACAGGACAGCACATACACATGAAAAAGCCATTATCAAATATACTATAGGACTAGGTGTGTGTGTGTGTCTGTCTGTTCTGGGCAGCCGAAACGGCACAATCGTTTTTCATCAAACTTGGTGGGAAAAATCGCAAAAAATTCGTAGAGTGAAACAAACCTGGTCCCATGTCGATGGTTTCTTTAGGAAGGCATTAGTTAACAATTTTATTTACGATGGAAAACGATGCAAGTCTACGGACTTGGCACACCCTAATTAACCATGCAAGTCTACGGAATTGGCACACCCTCATTCCCTGTACGCTGTCACGAGCGTTCAAACTCTCACAAGGGCACGAACGTGCCCGCGATCACTTGTTTGTGCTATAGATGAATACTCTTGTCTTTCCTTCCTTTCAAATCAGTGGACGAGGGGCACGACTATGATGTAGTGTATCTTGACTTTAGTAAAGCCTTCGACAGAGTCCCACACGAAAGACTAATAAGTAAAGTGGAGGCTCGTGGCATTGGAGGAGATATTCTAAAATGGATTAGTGCGTGATTACAGGACAGGAAACAGCAAGTGAGCATTAACGGCACTAAATCCGATTGGAGTAACGTCACTAGTGGAGTACCCCAAGGCTCAGTACTTGGACCATTATTATTTATTACATACATAAACGACATAGATATCGGCGTGGACAGCAACATAAGTAAATTTGCTGATGACACTAAAATAGGGCATATAATTAAATCTGATGAGGACTCTGCAAAACTAAAGGAAGATCTAAACAAATTTTTTTGAATGGTCTGAAAAATGGCAGATGAAATTCAATGTGGACAAATGTGAAGTACTTAGTCTAAGAGATGTAAACAGAGAAACCAGATATCGGATAAACAACGATGTTATAGAGAAATCCGAATATGAGAAAGATTTAGGTGTAATGATAAGTAGGAATCTTAAGCCAAGTAAACAATGTGTATTTGCTCGAAACAAGGCTAATAAAGTACTTGGGTTCATACAAAGGAGTGTTAGTTACAAGACTAGAGAGGTTATCCTAAAACTATATCTTACGCTTGTGAGACCTCACTTGGATTACACAGTTCAATTCTGGTCACCGTATTACAGAATGGATATAGAATCCCTAGAAAGAATTCAGAGGAGAATGACAAGACTAATCCCAGGCATTAGGAACCTTGAGTACAGAGACAGGTTAAAGCATCTTAATTTTCGCTCCCTCGAGTGACGCAGGGTGAGGGGCAATATGATAGAGGTGTATAAATGGAAGTCAGGGCTAAACAAAGGGGACATTACAAAGGTACTCAAACTATCCAACCAGGAGCGAACTCGTAACAATGGCTTTAAATTAGACAAATTTAGATTTAGGCACGAGATAGGTAAACATTGGCTTGGAAATACAGTAGAGTAGTGGATGAATGGAACAAGTCACCAAACATCAACTCGAATATGCTGGATAGCTTCAAACATAGGTTGGATGGATATATGAGCGATAGGGGTTGGGTGTAAATGGGACTGCCCAGTATGGGCCAATAGGCCTGCTGCAGTTTCCTCCATTCTTATGTTCAGTTTTTAAGTACAGGTATAGGCTTTCAGGTAAATTGGCCATCACTAGAGTAAAATCACTTATGGCTGGTGATTGCCTCTGAGTTGAGTGATAAATCTATTAGTTTGTGAGCTGCAGTCAAGTTTTTTTAACATCTTGATGCTATCACTTCTCTGTGTGTCATCTTGTACTGTACAGTACTTGAATTTTTGTGTTACTGTATTTACTAAATTTGGGCTATTGTCATTTATACTAGTGATTTATTTTTGTGAGTCTGGGAAACAGACTGTAGTTGATGATGATATGATTGGCCTTAAAGAAACTATCAAACCACCAAGTCAATTTACTTTTCTGAGCACTAAATGCATATTGTCATAATGCCAGTAACAGATCTCTCTACATGGCCGTGTTGTATGCAAGAAGGTCACTTGAGCAATTAATGAAAAGGAGTGCCTGTGTTGGTGGAAAATTAATACAATACTGTATTTGTAAAAATATGTATCATTCAGTAAATTAGTAATGCTTGATATATTTTTTTAAATTTTATTATACTTTCTTTTTTTTCTTTTTTTATAGGGATTGAAGGGTGTTGACAATGTGTACACCCAGCATAAGCCACTATTGTTGGAGACCTTAATGGAGCTGGTGAAGGGGCGTTTACGTGAGGGAGCCTTCCCCTTCTGTGGGAACCCACCTTCCTCCACAACAGCCAGGTCAGAGTGTAGATAAATCATACATTTATTTCTATATGTCATTAATCTTTATTAATCTTCCATATCCATGTGAGGTAGATCAGTTAAGACAGAAACCTTATAGAAATGGGGCACATTTGGAGAGTAACAACAACAATGAAAAATACAGTTCATAGATATAAATATTAATGCTGTATGGTTTTACTGAAGGAGTACTAGTTAAGGACGTTTGTAATAACCTGCCAGAGTGTTGTGATGGGACCAAGTGTGAGTTCATTTAAGACTACACTTGTTTAACACTGATGCATGTTCAGATACATTCTGGAGACAGTATATAACAGAGACGTGCTATAGGTGACCAGTAGTGGGAAGGGTAAAGTAATAGAGGGACATGCAGGTAGTTGATGATGCAGTAATTGCATAATTAGGAGAAATAAACTAAATAACACCTTTGTGTATTTGTTTACAGTATTGTTTTATTTTGCATTTTAACTTAATGTCCGTTTCTTTTGACTAGTATATCAATTAACTTTCAATAAGTAAACTTAATTATTCCTCCATTAATTACCTTTCATACCTATGTTGTTGTAAATTAACCATTTTTTGTCTTGTATTTCACACTTCAGTGCAAAAGATTATACAGTATTGTAACTAGGATTATACTATACTGTATTGTACTTTCTCAGTATTCAGGGAATTTATATAATTTATCTGATATTTGAATAGCTTTAGATACTGTATTTAAGTATTAAGTGATCCATGGTGTGCTCCACAGACCCAAGAACATAGTTGTATTCATCGTTGGAGGAGCAACCTATGAGGAATCTCTCACAGTTCACCAATTCAACACTAACAACCCTGGAATGCATGTTATTTTGGGAGGTTCCACCATACACAGTGCCTCCAGCTTTCTAGACTCCGTGGAGTCTGCAATGGATGGAATTCCACGTAAAGCTCTCAGAATATGAGCTTCATAGACTTATGAAATGTTATACAATTAAGACTGTTACTGGTATTGATTATAATGGCCAATGAGGGAGTTGACAGCAAAGTCTCTCTCTCTATGTATATATATTATAAGGACACAAAGCTAACTTTTGTAACATTTTATTCACTCACATCTTGGTCCTTATACAAACATATCGCATTTATTTAGATATTTGTAGTTCCTTAATATATTTCACCAATAATTTGGTTTTCTTTCCTCGTTAAGTATTTTTAAGCTTTATCTGAGTCTGAACTCTCATTGTTTGGTGTAACTCTTAGAGAGTTTATAATCTTAGTTTTAAAGAAATCATTTTTTTTTTTGGCTAAATTGTAGCAACAGTATCGGCTGCAGTAATTTAGCTATTTTCTTCATTAAAAAGATAAGTAAATTATGCTTTTGGCACACCTATTTTTACAGGTATCTAAGTTTAATTTTTCATTGTTAGTGGCTTATTTGTGTCTTTGTAGGACCATCAAACCATAATAGAATCATCAGTAAGGTGTCAGTGCTTGACTTAAGTACTGAAGAATCACAAAACATCAACAGGTGCAAGCTTTATATGGAGAAATAAACTGTAAGATTCTGTGATTTTACTATGTACAAAGTGTAGCATGAATAGTTTAAAATGTGTAGGTGGAAGGTCAAGAAGATTGACGAAGTGGGGATGAAGGAACCCATAGAGTTTATATTGTAAGTTTTTTTAAACAATTAAATCACCCTCCAGCAGCTTAGTTACATAATGTTTACAGACACCCTGTATGTTTTGAGATCAACTCAAGTTGAATCCATAGTTTGTCCATTAAGTATTATACAGATGAAGATTTTGTTCTAGAAATACCTGTGCTGTAATATTAACTAGCCCAGACTATAATTGACTGTCAGTTTGGCCAATGAGTGATTTTGAATTAGAGGGGTACAGTACAAATTATTATTATTATTATTTTTTTTTTTTTTCCAGTATGAATTTTTATATTCTTCAATTAATCAATTACTACTATAATTCTGCTACATGATACTGGAAAAGAATTTAAAACAGCTAAGAGACCACGAGTAAAACAGGAATTTAGTTCTCCTTGTATAATAATATGTGCATGTAGAGGACTATAAAGTCCATGCAATTTTGCTTCAGTGGATCATTGTAACACTAAACCAAAGCCAGTGATGTTTTGTTGAGATGGTGTTTTACGTGGTTCGAGTGCTTTAGAGTGGAAATCCTATGGGTTAAATTTTATTTCTGTATGCCCTGTTAAATACCAAGTTGATTGCTTTTTTCTTTAATGTCTTCTTGACTTCTACTGTACAGTACATGCACAGTAAGACTCCGCTAAGTCGGACTTCCATAAGTCGGAAACCCCCATTAGTCAGACTATGGTCTGTCATCACTCGTCCTATACCTCCGAGTCATAATTGGTGGTAAACCTCGATCTGCCACCTCGCGTCCTTGATTCCAACAGTGATTAAACCAAGAAATAAATGCTAGTTTTAAGTGTAACTGTACAGATAAATTTTATGAGTGAACTAAATAGTATAAGTGAAACTACAGTAAAGTAAGTTTAAGCACCCCTCCTTTGTCCTCCAACTCTAAATTCATCAAGATTTGTCTGCTACAGTAATCTCAAAATTCATCTGCTACAATGTAAGTACAGTACACTATAATAAGAATTGTTAACCTTTTTTGTGATTTTTCAGTAAAATGGTGGTCAAAATTACTGGGGCTGGGTCCACATAAGACAGACTAGCATGAGCCCCATATAGTTCGACTTGGGAGGGGGTCTTACTTTACTTTGAAAACTATACTACATGATTTATGATTAGGGCCAAGTTCCATGTTTTAAGTTTTATTTAATTTGTCAGCACTTAACATTCCATTTAGCATACTGTACACCTGTATTACCATAAACACAAACTGGTGACTTAAGACCAGTAAAATTATTATTGGTTCTGACTTGTCCTTTATACTTATATGTGTTGGTGCTACTTTATGAATAATTGTACAGCTATCCCCCAATCTGTGATATTCTGCATTAAAGATGGTGATGTATTAGGGCCACCCCCTATCTACAATGTAAGTAATTTGCATGAATGATAGTCATCGTCTGGCCAAAGCACTTTGCAGTCACAATAAACAGGAAAAATCACTTCACAGTCACCAAAACCGTACAATGTGAACTTTAATGATGTCCTCTCACCATCTCACTGTAAGAAAAAAAAAATACATCCATGTTAAGTAACATTGATACTGAGTGATAATTGTTGAATTACACAATTGCAGCCATGTGGCATCACCAGAGAACAAAGCTTCATTCTGTAGTGCACCGGGTGCCTGTGTGGCGGTGCACATGTGCGTTGTTGTCAATGTGAGCGCCACCACGCCGGCAACTGGTGCACTACACTACCAAGCTTTGTTCCCTGGTGATGCCACATGGCTGCAATCATGTAATTCAACAATTATCGGTCAGTATTGGTGTTGTTACTTAACATGGATGTATTTGTTTTATCTTACAGTGTGACAGTGAGAGGACATCATTAAAGTTCACATTATACTCTGTTTTGGTGACTGTGAAGTGACTCTTGCTGTGTTTGTTTTGTGTGGGTATGTGGATGGGAGGAAGGGTTGTGTGGATGGGAGAATGGGTGTCTGAATGGGAGGAAGGGTTGTGTGGATGGGAGAATGGGTGTCTGAATGGGAGGAAGGGTGTGTGGATGGGAGGAAGGGTGTGTGGATGGGAGGAAGGATGTGTGGATGGCAGGAAGGGTGTGTGGATGGCAGGAAGGATGTGTGGATGGGAGGAAGGATGTGTGGATGGCAGGAAGGGTGTGTGGATGGGAGGAAGGATGTGATGGCAGGAAGGGTGTGTGGATGGGAAGGATGTGTGGATGGCAGGAAGGGTGTGTGGTTGGCAGGAAGGGTGTGTGGTTGGCAGGAAGGGTGTGGATGGCAGGAAGGGTGTGTGGATGGCATGGCAGGAAGGGTGTGTGGGGAGGGTGTGGATGGATGGAAGGGTGTGTGGATGGGAGGGCTAAAACAAAAACAAAAACAAAAAACACCCTTGAGTATGATGATTTTTCACCTTGTGTATAATTATTTTACAACTTGAATATGATGATTTAACATCTTGAGTATGATAACTTAACCCTTTGAGTAAGATGAATCAACCCCCCTTGAATATGATGATTTAAACCCTTGAGTATGACGACTTAACACTTTAGTATGGTAACTTAACCCCTTGAGAATGATGACTTTACCCCTTGAATATGATGATTTAACCCCTACAGTAAAATAAATGTCTTAACTCAAGAGACTATTTCATTTTATTCCTGGGGTTCGGTCATTTTACTTAAAAGGTAAGTAATTTCAATCAAAGGGTTAAGACTATCTCATCCCCTGAACAAAACTCCATTTACGTACAGTGATAACACATTTCTCTGTCCCGCCCATAGCACGTTTTCTCTGTGCACTCTTAATTTCCTCCAGTACTAACAATGGACAATAAAGGTCACAACAAAGTAATGAAGAACAGACCAACTGCCCAAATGACTAGTACCTGTAAGCTGATAAGCGGTGAAATTATCAGTTGAATTGCTTAAAATTAAACTCGAGTATTAAATAAACGTAATTAAACATAACCTAAATGCTTCATTTTCCTGATCTGATACTTAGGAAGGAGAATATCATAACATAACACATCTATCAAAGCAGTTAGAATATATCCTTTAGCATGTACTGTACAGTACTGTACTCAAATTGCACTTCTTACTTTTTAATTTCGTTTTTGGCAAGAATAATTTGTTTTAGGAAGTTACTAACCTTTGAATTCATGGACAGTGCCACTCAAGAACATAGTGGTCAAGAAGTTTCTTGTAGGGTCTGCCAGCACCATTCTCACTTCAGGATGTTGAGAGGTGCTTGTTACAGCAGTAGAAGGGTCACAGCTGTTCTCTGTTGTCTGGTGATTCACAGAAAGTTGGGACTGTGAATAAAGCAAAAATCAAAACATCACAGTGCAGTAATTGATAAAGTCAGCATTATGGGTGCCCCGTCTCAATAACAGTAAGTTCGCCTACGGCAGGTAAGTTATGCTAGGTTTGGTTAGGTTAGTTAACATGAACTTTTAAACAAAAATTTTTTAACACATTTGCCATAACTATGACAGTGTCCATGATAAAACACTGTAAAGGTGTAGAGGTGGGTGACCACCAGAAGGAATTCTCTGAATTGGTTGAAATTTTTTCTACACACTAATATGATATTAAACACAAAAATGGAAACGACAAGACACATTACCTCTACAGGATTTATGTCGCAAAACATTTTTCGATCGCATAAGAAGATACAGACCATAGGTTAGGTTAAGGTAAGAGGAGTTAAAAGGTTAGTTTAACATACATCGGTAAGGGGGGATAGTAACTCAAAACTAGTGATTTCTGATAGAAATGAAGGTCTAAATCGTTCATAACACATCACAAACCACCAGAAATAAAAAATGGTCTGCATGTCTAAATACAGGGATGACCATATCTTAAAATTTACCCAATATAGCCTATCTCGAATCTAAACATCAAAATACTTATGGTCGTTAAAATAAAATTTTACCAATTAATTAATATAAATGATATATCCCAGTGGTTCATTAGTGAATCATCAAAACAATAACAGCACTATGTTGACATGTTTACCGAGCACAGGCATTCTCAAAACAAAGTCCAGACACTGTCATTACTTCTAAACTGACTCGTATCTCCATCTAGTACTGATCTACTCTGTAAATGCACTGAAAAAAAGAGAAAATCTACCAAGTAAGAATACATGACAGCTGAGCTGATGTGATCGTGGGAGTTTTTCATGTCCAAAAAACATAAGAATAGTGGGAACTGCAGTGGGTCAATTGGCCCATATTGGGCAGTCCCATTTACACCCAACCCCTATCACTCATATAACCATCCAACCTATGTTTGAAGCTGCTTTTCACGGCACATTTCCTCACTTACGAAATGTCCACGACTTAGGCCATAAAAAAACACCCTTGAAACTTATCTGAACGTGGCAGCTGAGGTCTGAAGAGGCCATCCTCTCTAGTACCTACGACTGCAGCGATGAGTTTGTACTGTACTGGTACAGTACAAGTACACCCAGTACTTGGT